TTAGGTGTAACGATTAATTAGACATAAACTAATGTGATGAGCGCACTTTCTTACAGTTATCGAGATAATTTGGCTTCTATGTCGAACTAATTAATTACTATGTTAATTTAAATAACTACACTAAGATTTACTTATATGTCGAATTCCGACATAATTTGCTTGCTAAATACTTTAAATTTAAGAATAAATACAAATCAAATTATAAAATGTTACCTAGTAAGTAACTTCGTCTTAAAATGCCTACCAATACTACGATACTACATAAATACATGGTTTACTTCTATGTGTATGCACAATATAAAACAATAAACACAACTCGACTTTGATCCTGAGTAAATGATGTCTAGATACCTACTGCTCACACTTCATAGTTCATATGCTTTGACAAATTGACTTGATGATCGACTCCACCAACTACTTATCAAGACTCAAGACCTTTCGATAATAAATTGACAATATTCACTACATTTCTTACATTGTAACGTAGGTACTTACATTTGAAATGTGATGATAGATACCTATATAAACTCATATACAGGACCTCTTTTATTTACCTACTACATGATGTACAGCCAAGTTCCTGCCTCACGAACATAAGATTTTTATACAAACAAAGTCAATTATCTACAAGGCTACCTAATAAACAGTTGCTTTTAAAATTCAAATACATACATATACTTCACATATAGTATTAGCCCATGTTCCGTGGCGTCGATGAAATTCAAGATAGACTCATCAAGAGATGTTTACCTTGTCTCTTTGTTGCGGTGAAATATTCGCATAGCTACATACAAGCCTGTAACACACATCAACGTGGGAATCGAACCAACAATACGGAGTGCGACAGTATATCAACCATGCAGTCAGTTGTTGAAACTATTTGTACGCAAAATTACTATGAACAAGCTACATATGTATGAGTGTTGGAATGAAGGTGTAGGTGTCCTAAGAGGATTTAAACCTAAGCAATTGCTCAATTAGATAAATGGCATCATTTTGCAACCAATCAATCGTCCGCCTGTTACCACTATGCACACGTCATGAACATACTAGGTCACATTGTAAAGGCTCCTCAGCACTTGTGATGTTCACCGTCGGTGCAACAGAACTCCTTGCCTGCTGAGAAGCTGGTGGGCGTCCACTCCCCGCCACAGTTCTTTATGAAGAGGAACGCCTTTTCTCTGTGAACGTCGCGTTCCACCGCCCCGCAGATGACAGGCCCGGCACGTGGCAGGTATTTCAGGATCTACCGTTACAAATGAATTTAACGTTACATATTATAATTTAGGAGAAACTGTCTTACTGGTCTAATTAGAGAAAACTTGGTCTAGTGGTTAATGGATTAAGCTGAACATGGCATGTACCTATGTGCTAAGGTTTCGAATCGAGATACATGTAGGTAACATGTGCAGTTCATTCTTAGGATCACATCATATTCTAATAACTTGCATAATATTACACAGACTAGTTGTTAGTGAATAATGGATACTTTAGAACAAAAGAATACCTACATACATACAAATCGAAAGAATGTAAAGAACGATGTGATGGGAAATTGTAACTAAGAGCATTTTTTCGCAGACAGTAAAGTTATAAATATAAAATCCATATAATATGGCAGCGAAGTGCCCGGTGTCAACCTTCACGTAACAATTTGATTGGTATTGTTATGATCAGTGACGTGGCACGCGGCGACCTCTATTATGGCAGCTAATTACAATGAAGGGCCGTGAGGTTACACGTAAGTGTCATGTTTACTTTGCAAAATTAATCAGCGCACGAAATAAATAAACAATTTATTTAATTGTTGTGAAACTGTCCACTATTGCTTACATTATCCTTCGTCGAACGTTGTACCCTGACATCTGAGTACGATGATTTGGCTGTATTATTTTGCATCGGTGAAATATGCAAATAACGTAACGCCTTATTCACTGAAGAGGCAGACAGAGGTGTATTTTAGTCTTAGTACCTACACTCACTTTTCGCCATTTGTTTTTATTATACCCATGTTCCTAATATGAGTCGAGCGTAATTGCCATACCTGACTGAAATACTTATTGCACCGGGCACAATTCCTACTCCAATTAGAACATTAGCATTTAGCTTAAAAATACCACTAAGCTTATGTGCTGTAAATACTGACCACATCAAGACACCTGCTGACGCAGTTCTTGAAGCCTCCGACACCGCAGGGCATGCTGGGTGAGTCTGTATCATAGGTGACGACGGGCTCCCCTTGTGGGGGTCCGCGTGGCCGGCTGCGGCGATTGTTCTCCTTGATACCGACTTGCTGGGACAGGAACACTCCGCACTGGCATGGTTCTAGCTGTAAAAAACAAATTATAGAACATTCATTTATGAAAATAAAATGACTTTTAGTAGTTCCCATGAAAACAGAAAATTTCAGTTGATTGATTCGATATTATGTAGATAACTCAGTAACGCCTGCTTACAAACATTTGCCGCCTGCCCAAAGAAGCAGTCACGAATATTCTCCACCGCCTCAAGGGACGCCTGCACTAACTCACAAGTCAAACTGGTCTGAAATAGTGTTTATTCAGACCTTAGCAAGCTAGTACCAAGTGCAATCAGTAACGTGCATAAGTATGTATGCGCAGTGTTGGTGCAGTTAATATTTATTGGATTTTTTACACGTTTGCTCACTTTATTTATTTAGATTTGTACAAATTACGAACAAAAAAATTACAGGCAGACTTTCTCCGTTGGTTCACTTTACTTTAGGTCCGAAGGTTCTTTAATAGGGTTAAGTTTAAACTGAGTGAAATTTGAAAAACCTCATACGGTTTTATAGTTTTCACATCTACATAACCCTTTTTGTAAACCCATCAGCCTATTTTAATAGAAAGGTGTGAAGATGGGTACGTGTACGACTTTTAAAGTGAATGCGGATAGGACCAGCTGGCCAAGCATTAGCACCTACCTAGTTCGGTATATTTTGTGCCGATGTTGTTTTTCCAAGGACACCTCTCGAAGGTCTGTACAAGCAGGTTTTTCAAAGACCCTTACCTCCTCGTAATCATCATCGTAGTTAGTCTCTTCCTCCGAGGGAGCACTGATGGAGTAGTTCTCCCGTTTCGTGTTGCGTCTACTCTCAGCTGCTACCGCCACAAACAACCAGGCTACGAACAGCAACCATAACCACGACTGGAGTCCATGCATTTTGTAGATCCTGTAAAGATTATTCCTTTTTAGACGGTTCACTAAACAACCGAAATTAATAACCAGCCTCAATCCAAAATAGGTGGATTAAAATCGTTTCTAGACATTGGTTGGAGTATCAGTGATAAAAGAAATAGCAAGATTATTAAATACACGTAGGTACGTACTTACACGACTACTCACCCAACCTAGACAAACATTGTAGGTAAAGAGAAACTTTAGGAATCGATTTTTCTAATTTTAGTTGCTCTCTAGTTGGTTCTAAAATAGCTAGTCAGCCAGCTAGGCTATCTAGTTTAGTCGAAACTCTAAACAGATTTTACCTAAAGCGTCTGTTCAACGAAACATAACATCACGGCTTTTATAAACCAACAAAGAGGTGATGTGATTTAAAAAATCAAAAGCGTTACTTAACCCGACCCTCAACCCTAGAATCGATCCCAAAACCTCTTATCGCGCTTACGACTACTCGACCAATGAGGTAGTTAGTGCTGAATAGAATATTGAAGACAAGAACATTTACTTACTTTATCAAAGTGTTCTGGCTTCCTTACAGGTTCTACAGTAATTCCTTCCAACCAATCACATCACCCACTAACACACCACTCCTCAATAAGAACTTATAGTGTGACCTGACGATAATTATCTGGCCATATAAACCCCATGTCTCTGCTAAATATTCTGTGAAAAACTGTCAACTCAGCTTCATGGCCGTACATCAAAACGTGTCTAATTCACGCCTCGCTATATTTTACGTGAATTTATCCACATTTCTTTATACAAACGTGATTGCTGATTGAAAATAGTTTTAAGATAAGGATCTATTGTAATAAATAAATACTTTTAACATGCGCCTACAAAATTCCGAGTGGTTTATCTGTACGTGGGTGGGTATAGTTATTAACTAAATGTCTACATATTTGTAGGTTCCCCTCTAGCCGATTTTATTAGCTATTAGCTACATGGTAGAGATGCATCAGTAGACCAGTATGATCTTTAACATAGGGCATTCGGGGCCCGTGCCCAGGGCCCCCATCCTCAGGGGGCCCCAAAAGACTGACTATTTTTACGACAAACACACCGGGTACACGTTCCGCAGCAACCGGCTGCACGGAACGTGTAGCGGGTTCGATTCCCGCACGGAGAAAATCTTTGTGTGATCCACAAATTGTTATTTCCGGTTTATTATTTTTTATTTCACGATACCTAGAGGAGAAAATCTTAGTGTGGCGTCTAAGTCGGCCTTGGCTATCGATACACTTAAGGGTAGGTACCTAACCTACTATGTAGTAAAAGATTTTAAATAAAAAGATCTAAGTGATGATTCAAAAAACCCACCAACTGAATGGTTTCATGTGATAAGCTTTTCCAAAATAATTACTACTAGCTGTTGCAAGCAACTTCGTCCGTGTAGAAAAATTAATCCTGGCAGAATTCATCAGAATCGATTCAGTGCCGAAGTTTTATTTTCTTAAGTTTTAGTTATTATTGTGAAATGAATTTATCGTGGTTTCAAAAAATAAATAAGTAATCCCGCAAGGATTTTGCCAGTAGTGCGCCCGTTCCCGTAAAGTGTTAGTGATAAAAACTATTCTAACGAATATTGTTATACCGAATCTCTCTAAAATAAGTTCAGTGTTTAAGAGATAGAGTCCCGGGGCTTTAACGCATTGTTCCCATTCCCGTGGGACTTCTGTGATAATAAAAACTGTCATGCATACATCATGTTCCAGGTCTCAAAATATGGTTTTACCGAATGTAACTCAAAAAGATTCAATGATTCTAGATTCTAAGATTCTAAATGTAAATAATCTAATTTATCTAAACTTTCAGCCCCTATTTGGGGACCAAAATTGGGGGTAGAATTGATCAAAATCTATTCTTAGAGGATGCCTGCGTCATACATTTACATCTACCTGCATGCCGAATTTCAACCCATTCAGTTTAAAACTGACAAAGTTGCATACAAACTTTCATCCCCTATTTTACCCCCTTGGGGGTATAAATAATCAAAACCCTTTTTTAGGGGATACTTACGTCATAACATCAGTTTGCGTGTCGAATTTCAACCCGATCGGTGCAAAACCGACAAAGTTTCATACAAACTTTTATCCCTTATTTTACCCCCTTGGGGATGGAAATGATCAAAATCCTTTCTTAGCCTACGTCATAACATCTACCTGCATGCCAAATTTCAGCCCGATCCGTCCAATTGTTTGGTGACTGTGACGTAACTATTCGCAACTTGCCTGTAGATACGCCACTGGTCCCGGGGTGTGATGCCATATGTGATGTTTTTAAAAGCACTCACGACACATCAAACTTAAGAAATGTATATAAATTCTTAAGAATGATTACTCGTATCATTAGGTAACAGTAAGTAGTAAGTAAAAAATGGCATAAAAACGTGAACAGGATTTCGGATTGGATCGAAGGTTGGTCCTAGAAGGTAAATTGTACCTCAAGCATTGGGTACCCAATTTGCTTATTTAACATGCACAAGTTCAGCAAGTTCTATACCATAACACCTTAAAATGAAAGAGGGTTAAGCAGAGGTGCACATTCCCCTATACTCTTTGGGTGCACATAAAAGAGTGTACCCAGTTTTTGTTAGTTGATTGTTCAGGTCGTCATGTAATGGGGAGGGCGCCAAATCTACTACCCTTACTAAATTCCTATTAATAACACTGAGAATAAATTAAAAACGCATGTTACACGATTCAGTTTATTTTCTACATATTATTAAAAATACTAAGTACTGATCAGACGAAAAAATTGACAAAAATCCTTATCGTAGTCCCTACTACTACAGCGATCTGTGTCGCACTGCTCGTTTGTCAACATTTGTCGATTACATGAGTTCAATCACAGCCTTCCCAATCATAGAATTTTGACTCTATAAAACACTGAAGCAAGTTCATCTAGCAACTAGCAATAATATTAATAAAATTTGAAAATTCTAACACTACATAAATGCTATAAAGTGATAATATCAATAAGCACAATTTATGGACTACCAAATATAAGTAAAATATTTACTTGTAAAGCTTTCTTACAATATATTCAGAGTAGTAAATGTACACAAGTACATGAAATTGGATGAAATAAAAATAAAAACAAATAAACAGACTAAAGTTTAATAAAATAAAAACAAACACGTCTGTAACAGATCAAGAAGTGTAAAACAAAAAATAGTTACACAAGTTAGGTACATGAACATAAACCATAAAAATATAAAGTAGATAAAATCACATTTCATGTGACAGTGATACAAACTAAAATAACCAATTAACAGAAAACAAAATGATGTTTCACTAGAATCTTACTTACCAGCAGTAAAAAAGTAATGAAAAGAGGAACAGTCACTTATAGTTACTATAAAGTAATTACTATCTTACGTTATACATTCTAGAAAAGTTGTTTTCATGTCCTTTTATACATAGAAACAAATACATTATCATCAAACCAGAAAGTTAATGTCCATTTATTAGCTGCATACAAGAATATAAAAAATATACACAAATACTATCACAAGTCAACACAGTAACATAGTCAAATAGAGCAAAGACTTTTGAGGTTGGCCCAGGAAAAGCTATTTCAAAATGGCAGTATTATTATGGAGCCAATGAAAGACACAAACATCAGAATTAATAGCTATCTGACTCCAATTACTTATAAATTATAAGAAGAATTATGTACATCAAAAATGTAAATTGTAAGTGATTACCAAATAAAAATATGCTTTATAGACACAAGACACAGGCAAGAAATCATTTATGGATACAATGTTATTATTAAACAAATTAACAATTTTCATGACTAACATTCTCATAGTGCTTTCTGAAATTTTGTATTACATAAATAATGTGATTGTTATGCTTGTTGCCATGTAAATACATATTTACCAGCAATAATAATTTATTATGACTGCATGACAAATTATTTGACAGTAAAATTGCACGAGTTGTATTAATATGGATTTTTTTTGTATGTGGATAACTCGTGATCTAGTTACTATCAGTCTTAATTAATTATAGACTATGAAATTTGTATAATTATGGACATTAAATGGACAGATTTCATGATACAACTGCAGCATACTTGGTGTTCAACTGATCAGTTATTAAATATTAAACTACCTTGTAGGTACTGAGTTAACTAATTAAAACTAAATAATTGTACTTTTCAGTTTATATTATTTGATTTCAAGATTTTATTGGCACATAGACAGACTATCATAAAATTTAAGACCTTCCCAATAGACTTTTCTATAGTTCTAATTTTTAGATTTATAAATTTTAATGCCTTGTGGCATTACACATTTTACTTAATGTTTAATACTTAAATCTATGAAATAAGTTATTATTATGAGTTATCTTATATATCTAACAGTCTTTGGCTAACATGAGTTTAGCCTCACCTTCAAACACAACCTTCTTTTCTTCTTCGACAATGCAATAAAACTTTACTTTGAGAATCTTCCTCACATCAACAAGTTCTACACTTATAGTCAACTTCTCACCAACAAAGCACTTATTAGGAAACTTCATAGTTTGTGATACAAGCACTGTACCAGGGCCAGGCAAGTGGGTGCCAATCAGTCCGGCCACTAAACCGTTGAGGAGTGCTCCATGCACTATTGGCCTCTTGTTGCCATTATTCTGATGCAAGTAGTTATGGTCACTAGTGAGGTTGGAGAATGCATCCAAATCTTTTTGAGTCAAAGTCTTTTGTATGCGAATCTTATCTCCAGCTTTGAAAGCTGTGTTACTAAATGAAGTTGTGTGAATTTTGCATATCTTCTGATAGTTCTTGTTGTTCACGACAATATAGGGAAATCTGTTTGATAACATCTTGTTCATTTTTGGAAAAATACTTTTATTTATAAATTCTCATTTGTTTTGCATACATCTTGTAGGTATATAGTGGCTAGGTTAACTAATCTTTTGTCATTAGATTTTTGTATATCTTGTATCTGATGCACCACCTCCGAGGCTGTGATTTCAGATTCTGTTTGGTTATTGTGGAGATACATCAAAGTTGTGATTGTGTCAGCAATGATGTCATTATGATTCAAACTGAGTAAAGCAGTGAGTGGCTTCAGTCCAGACTGTGTTATGATATATTCAGCATTCAGTGGATCTGAAATGGTAAACAATTGTTATCATTAGTGTCTTAATCTTAAAATATTATTGATACATTAAAACAATTAGGCAATAAAAGATGGACCATTATGAAATAGTATGGAGAAAGTCCTCATTCAAATATTATTTTTGGAATATCTTATTATTCACAAGAATACATCTTAATATAGACTTTATATAGCAGTCAGTTACCATCACTTTACATTTAAAATATGTATAATAATATACTCACCGCAGCATAAATTGCAGATCCCTGTTACAGCAAAATGCAGCAATTGGTGACTGCTCTCATTCTTAATGACATGAAGAAAAATATCCAAGACTCCAACGTCTCTGATATATTGATAATTTATTGGGTCGTATGCAAAGTTAGCCAAATTAGCTAATACTTGGCATTTAGCATCTGAAAAATAAATATAGGTACCTATTACGTGAGTAGTTCTTAAAAAAAAACATCAAAGCTTATAAACAAAGGTCACAGAAACTTCTATAAAAGTCATAACGTTTTAGTCTGAATTATTAATATTTATTCAATTTACAAGTAAATAAATGAATTATATTTACCATACGCACTGGAATGCAAATATTCATCCACTAAAAGCGATAGAAACGTTTTTCGATCTGTCCCATTTTCAGGGGTACGTTTCCTAAGTTGAATCTTGTTACTAAACATTGAAACTTAAAGTATGAATTATTTTGTTCAATATTTTAAATACACAGACACCAGCTCATTAAAAAGAAGAAAATTCACGCAAACGCCTATCTGACAAGTTTTTAATTCAAATCCTCCATCTTGAATTCTTTCTTTGAACGATTTGACATCTGATTGACTTTGTTCGATCTATGGCTGCGTTCACAAAACTACGTAAATAAATCAGTAAATAATAATAATATGGTATTTACAACAAAAATAATGGACTTCTGAGTCCTAATAGTACTATTATTATTTCTTTTATTTAATTTATATATTATTAAATATTTGATTATAAAAAAATAAAAATATAAAAAGCTCAGTAACGGGAGAAATCCAAGCTACCGGTCAGGGCTCCAGAGAGAGGAATTTTCGGCCTGTACGCGCCGTGTCCAGAAGTACTGCTTTTTGCATCAGGCCCTTGACCAAAGAGTATAGTAATCCCTTGACTCAACCATCTAACGCTAGCCTACTCAGGGCCTTTAGCCAAAAGCCACTTTAGCGCTTGTCTACAGAGAGTGTAGAAATTAAAATGTATGGGGATGACACTGACAAGTGTCAAAATTTACGTCAATTCCATATAATTTGGTGTTCTATTCTACAAGTAGACAAGCGCTAAATGGCATTTGGCTACAGCTGCAGGTGTTGGTCGAGGCGAGTCAATGCGGTCATTGGTCGATACGACTATCGGCATAATGACTGCTGAATCCACATCCCACATGTCAACAATCTCATGAGCTAGATCAAGATATTTACTTGCTTTATCTTTTTCAACTTTCACGAGATTCTCGTCATGTAGGACTGGGATTGTTATATCAACTATCATTGTGCGTCGTGGTCGATCTATCACCACAATGTCAGGTTGATTTGCAACAAATCGTCCTGTCTGTGATGATAGTTTGATCCCAATACAGTGTGACATCTCTATTTTCAAGAACTGGGTCAGGTCAAAAACTTATAATACGACACTTAAGATTCTACAAGTTTATTTTCAAAGCACTTTGTTGATGAATGTTATTGTCTAGCTACATCAACAAGATTATGTCTATGCAAATATTCTCCATTAGTTAGGTGAGAACAACCCGAAAATAAATGTCGGATAGATTCCCCGGGACGATGACATGCCCGACAAATGTCAACAGTTCCATCCTTTAACACATAAATCTTCGATAGTTATTCGCCAACATAACTTCGTCCATCAAAACCTTCCATTTCTCCAAATAAGTTACTAAAACGTAGCCAGGATACGGACGCTAAGAAATCTGTATTTGGCCCATGTAAGATGTAAGGCCCGATAATAGCGGCCGTGCAAGTCCTTACTTTGCCACACATTCCTGCAATAGTGCTTAGTATAGTTCTCTCCAGTTCTCGTTAGCCAAGGAGAGCGGAGTAAGTCCTTTGTCCACAGCAACAACATATCTATGCCTCCCCACGTTCATTTTCAAAAATACGTTCGGAGACTGTACACTTCACTGTTGTGGAGGATTTTGGCATTTTCATTATCTGTCATCTGTGTGGCATGATTGGCAACCAAAGAGTATAATAAGTATAGGGGTAAAGAGTTACCACTCGTCAAAATTTATGCCAATCAATTTGAAACGCCATCTGAAAATTGAATCCTAGTATTTTTTTTTTTACTAATGTCTACAGATAATCCTAAGTATAGCTAATGCCAATACTACCAACAATGCACCTTGCAGGTTGGTACATTGAAGGTAGTATTGGAATTAGCTATGTCTGGTAGCTGCAAAATCAAAGAAGTTATTAATTACAATATTACATTTATTTTACAGTAAATACAAATTAACATTTAAAAATTATCAGCTAGTAGGGAAATATCAGACGACAGATTTGTTCAAAGTATAATTCAAATTTTAGTTCTTTTTAATTTTATGTTTACAAATTTCAGATATAAATATGTCGTTCAAAATTTATTTGAATTAGTTATTTTTTACCGACTTCATTTAATTATTGATCCCACAAAGAACTAAAATTAAAAATATTTACTGTTCACCGTTGTTTACACAGTACCTAACAGTAGTTAACAATCTAATGATATAAATTAACCGTAATACCTACACAAATGTAGTACATTTTACCATCGATTTGAATCGCTTACAGTATTTACAAAAACACAAAATTATTATACAATTTACATAACATAACATACATAACATCACGCCTTTTTTCCCCGAAGGGGTAGGCAGAGGTGCACATTTCGGCACTCAATGCCAATGTACAATGTAACACCCACTTTTCACTATTTATGTTATAAGTCCCATGTAATAGGGGGTGAGCCTATTGCCATATACCGGGCACATTTCCAGACTACTCTACTACTACTGAGATTTTTTTAAAACCCAATAATACTTTGCCCGATCCGGGTATCGAACCCGAGACCCCTTGCCCAGCAGTCGCACTTATTATTATAATGTCGAAAAATATAGTGCTAAAAAATAAGTCTCAGTCTGCCTCTCAGTCAGTCTCAGTTTTTTAGTACTTTTTTTGCTAGTTGCTAATAATGCCTGACTTAGTCGTTTCCTATATCTAGTTATATTACAGTCATTTTTACTAAACAACTACAGATTTTTCCTATCCTCAAATATAATATTTTTATAACATTATAATGAAACAAAGTAATATTATTCTTATAAATACAAATGAAAATGAAACAGGCAAAATAATGTGGGAAATCCCAATTCAGACAGACTTCACAGTTGCCCACAACAGACTGGACATAATATACACAAACAAAACATCCAACACCACATACCTCTTTGACATAACTGTACCATGTTCAGTAAATACCACTTTTTAAAGACACAACTCAAGGCTAGACGCCTTGAAATATTGAAACGCATGTTAATTCTATAGTAATTGGAGCCACAGGAGTAGGTACTAGCCAAAAGCCTCAGCAGATACACAGACAAACTAGAAACATAAATAGACATTAGCCACCATTCACACAATAATCATTCTTAGCAAAGTACTAGGAGACTCAGTTTTCGTCACATACATTCCAGATTCCGATCAATTACAACCATCTCAAGCGCAAACACCACATACCACTCAGTCAACCATCACATGAAGCTCACAATCCACATCTGGCACACAAACTACACCCAGTTAGTAGTCAAGTAGTCAGCAGAAGAGAAAGAAGGAGATTTATAAGTCAAATTTAGAAGGGGCTATGAGCATCGTTTTTCCTGCGGGTTGCGGGAAGCGGTGCCCATTTTCACCAGGTCAAGCCCAAGAAGGAGAGACCTCTACATATATGAATACGAATAAGTAAAACCTAGAATAATGCTGCCAGTCTTTTGGGCACCCTACTCCACGATAGCGATGAAAAAGAATTTTTTAATGCCCTAAGGTAACATTTTTTTTAAGGTTTGAATATGTACCTATTTTAGTTTATTTATAATTTAATATTACTTTGTTGTGCGTAGGTACTTAAAATGTTGTTCTAATTATGATATATACATTAATACAAAGATAAAAATAGTTTTACAAAAATAATACGGCTTTAATATTTGCAGCGATCTATGGGTTTCTTGTTTCTTGAGGCAACAATATACGTCTGAATGTTAGAATAATTCCAAATAGTACCTGAAAAAAAAACAAAGATTATTTTTACATGCAGAAATATGTATTTTATTTATTTGTTTTCTTTTATTTATCTAAGGTAGGTGTACCTTACGTGATATTACTGATGTTACAAGAATAATATAGTATTTACCATCTCTAAAATAGGTTTCAAGCACTGCTGGTATAGATCGGCACTTTATCCGTACATCGTAAGACTCGTAACTGCCGATAAAAAATTGCACTATTGATATTCTGCAATGATGATGCTGAAGTAATATCGATGCAATAGCAATTCCAAATATCACTGTAACAAATATACAAAAGAAAAAGTAGAAATATATAAAAACTACATAGTTTGGTATCTCAATGAATCAAATAAAATGTATAAATAGGTTCAATAGCAAAAATCATAAACTTGTTGTAGGTTTTACCTTCAGCAACATAATTGTATTCTTCGTATTGATGTTCTTTATTATAAATAAGATATATACGCAAATTAAAGCGTTCCTTTGTAAAATCAAGTCCAATGAATAGACAAACAAACACAATGTACTTTTGTGATTTGTGATACACATGTATACAAAAGGTCCTTTATAGAAAACACAACACGCATCGCAGAACTTCCTTTTTTAGAAAAACAATCACAAAATCCCATCACAAATTATTAAATAATTTAAAATATTTTTGGCAAAATTTTTTACTATTTTGACATTTCAAATTTTTGTTTTTGTTTCTTTTCTTTATCAAGCAAAAAGTATACATATTATATGCCAGTATTAAAATAGTACAAACTACATGCATACTATTTTATAGAAATAAGGAGATAATATAAAAAAGTATTTAATATCAATATCTAATTATTAACAATATTATTTTAATAGTTATTTATTATCTAAATAATTTGGAAAATTATTATTGTAATGTTTTAATATTTTTTTAGCCCCAGCGTTGCCGTAAAAAATAATAATTTGACAATCCATATAGTACAAGAGCCTATGAACCCCAGACCTTTGTTATTTATAACGGACTTAAAAAAAGGAAAAGTTATATACCTATAAGGTTTTTTTATGTTCCTTCAGGGATGACTTCATCGTTTTTTAACGTATTTTGATGATTCTTTTTTAATCGACTTTAAAAAAGGAGTATCAGTTTGACCTAAATGTATATACATATGTTACAGCCAAAGTGATTAATTTGATATTATTCGTAATGACTAGTAATGAATCAATTAATGACTAGCTATTATGAATAATATCTTCGAAAACTTGGATAAAGTAAATCAGCAAATGGAAATGAACAGGGCTGACGTCTGCACAAAATTTTGAATTTATCGTCATGGGTGTCGTTTTCATGGTTTTCGAGGGTGATAAAGCCGATGGTCCTGTCAAATTGTAAATCCAAGATGGCGTGCGCACAAAATTTTTCAATTTATCGTCATGGGTGTCCTTTTCATGGTTTCCGAGGATGATAAAACCGATGGTGTTGTCAAAATGTAAATCCAAGATGGCGTCTGCACAAAATTTTGAATATATCGTCATGGGTGTCGTTCTCATGGTTTTCGAGGGTGATAAAACCGATGGTGTTGTCAAAATGTAAATCCAAGATGGCGTCTGCACAAAATTTTGAATGTATCGTCATGGGTGTCGTTCTCATGATTTTCGAGGGTGATAAAACCGATGGTGTTGTTAAAATGTAAATCCAAGATGGCGTCTGCACAAAATTTTGAATATATCGTCATGGGTGTCGTTCTCATGGTTTTCGAGGGTGATAAAACCGATGGTGTTGTCAAAATGTAAATCCAAGATGGCGTCTGCACAAAATTTTGAATGTATCGTCATGGGTGTCGTTCTCATGGTTTTCGAGGGTGATAAAGCCGATAGTGCTGTCAAAATGCAAATCCAAGATGGCGGCTGTACGAAATTTTCAATTTATCGTCATGGGTGTCGTTTTCATGGTTTTCAAGGGTGATAAAGCCGATGGTATTGTCAAAATGTAAATTCAAGATGGCGTCTACACAAAATTTTGAATTTATTGTCATGAGTATCGTCTTCATGGTTTTCGAGGGTGGTAACAAAGATGGTGCTGTCAAAATGCAAATCCAAGATGGCGGCTGCACGATATTTTCAATTTATCGTTATAGGTGTCGTTTTCATGGTTCTCGAGGGTGGTGAAAATGATGGTGCTGTCAAATTGTAAATCAGAGATGATGACTGAACGAAATAGAGTTAGTGCATTTATCGAGAAAGATTAAGTATGTGTGTGAATGTGTGTGTGTGTGTATGATAGAGAGACAGAAAGAATGCGTGCAACCTATTTTATAGATTTTCTATGAAAATTGAGTATTTTCATGTAATATTAGTTTTTATATAATAAAACCGGTGGCCTAGACCTGAGGTTCACAGGCTCTTAGGTTAATGCTTTTGGATGCAGAAACCTGACGCAGTCACTTCATAAAGTTTAATTTGTCATCCATCACTTAATATCTTTTTAATCTCTATTATTAGTAAAGAGGCTGTCATCTTTGATCGATTATGCCAGCATAACTGTCATTTGATCTAAGTTTAAGGAATTATTTTGTAAAAATTGCAATATAGTATTAAATAAATGTGTATAATGTTATTTTACTATTTCCAAAAAATATGATTTTAAGCCTAAATTTTAAAATAATGTTGCAACCTTGCTTGGAACTGTGTGGCCACTGAAAATATTAGTTTTGACAACATTTAATTTCAGGTTCGAAAACTAGATGTAGTTGACGGTCCGATTTTTTAAGCTGTCAATGGCTCTAAGTGTGACGGCCCTGTTGGCAACACAATATAAACGTCTGCTGTCCTGTCTGTTCTTTGGGCCGTGCGGCAAATTGTAAAAATAAAACCTAAGTGAAATTTTATAATGTTGAGGTTTTAGATAATTTTTATAACAGACCTCATAACAAAAATGAGTACTCCGTATATTGCCGGTAAATATTTACAGAACATCTGTTCATTTTCAGAAAAACTGCTATTTATAGGTTATAAATGCTGATTTCAACCACAATAATATTTTTCAGGTTTGACCACCAAAAATATATTCTTAGTTGACTTCAAAGAGCCGTATGCAGAGACAAATTTAAGGGATGAAACCACTACAAACATACGTGGCATTATATTTAGTCCTAAAGGAACATATTTAGCATATAGAACTGATAAGAAGTGAGTGTTTGATTGTTACTTCACATGGGTATAAATAAATAAATAAGTACAATCATTTGTACATGCTGATTATGGAGTCAACTAAATGCAAGTAATGTTTGTTTTCAGAGTTGAGATTGTAAGATGTTCCGACTGGTCAGTAACAGCAACTATAAATGGAAATGTCAAAGACATGTTTTTCTCACCCCTGGATAACTACTTTACTATCTGGGAAATGTTCATTATGACAAAGGAGAACCCTCAGGTAATAAACAATCAATGGAAACACACTTGTGTCTCAAGTAATGATATAAACTGCAATAGCAAGTGAAACAATATCAACAAGAGTTTACTGTTTTAGGGCAAACCTAACCTACATGTCTATAAATCAGCAGATGGCCAACTCGTAGGCAGCTTCATACAAAAAAATCAATCTGGATGGTAAGTTACATTACTCAAGTGATATTTAGGTATTGTAACCAAAAATTCAATGTAGCTTACTAATAATAATAAAATTAATTTTTAAATTATGCATTTGAAGGGAACCAAAGTGGACATCGGATGAGAAGCTGTTTGCTATTCAGATGAACAACAGAGTGTTGATCTATGAAGATGGCATACTAGACAGATTTGTGCAACAGTTGCATGCAGATAAACTGAAGTGTTTCAGTATCTCCCCTAGTGCTGCTCCTCTCTATTACTTTGCTGCATTTACTTTAGGTATAGTTAAAAATAAGTGTTATACTTATCCATTTTGCTTACTTTTCTGGCCATTGCTAACTTCAGTTAACTTTGATTTGCATTTTAATAAGACTTATTACAATTTAGTACTGTATCCATGACTCCAACAAGATAAAAGATTGATTTGTATACTTAGTACTGACATAAAAAAAATTAGATTGGGGAGGGGTATGATTGGGTCTTTTACAGAATGTACACTAATTCTATGAAGTGCGCTATTTGCACATATTTTTTCGTTTTACCTTTGCATCTAATTCTGAATGGTTTGCAGGTAAAGCAGGCCAGCCATCATTTTGGCGTGTATTCAAATACCCTGAGTTTGATCAGGCCCAGGCAGTGGTGAGCCGGTCCTCATTCCAGGCTGACAAGGCTACATTTTACTGGAATCGACGTGGTACCAATGTTTTTGCAATGACACAAACTGATGTAAGTACTTACGCTGATATATAAATAAAAATAAATAAATAATATAGGTACATCTAATATTAGCAGAGCATGTAAGACCTTGGTAACAAACTTATTTTGGTTGTAGGTGGACAAAACTGGTGGTTCTTATTATGGAAAGCAATCACTTTCCTATGGAGATGTTAAGGGCAATTCTGAAAATGTGACATTCAGTAAGTACAAAGTGTTATTATATTGACAGAAAACTCGTAAGTGCAGCATACAACCAGTGTAATTTCAGTTTGGTTTTTGGGTTTGATTGTCTAAAATTTAGACCATCAAACCAAGGATTTCGATTCAAATTCTCAACAATTCTTTCTTTCCCTAGGTAAGGAGGGTCCGGTGCACTCGATCGCGTGGAACCCGGGCAACTCTAACGAATGGATGGCAGTGTATGGACACGCGCCCGCTAAAGCTACGCTCTTCAATGTCAAGTGCGAACCTCTGTTCGAATTCGGCACTGGATCTTGGAACTCAATATATTTCCCACCTGAAGGAAATCATATCCTTTTCAATGTGACAATTTATCGATGCATGCCATGGTTTTATGTAGAGTATAGTGATTAATGACAATGTGAAAAATGTTTTTATAATAACTATCGTGAGACATCGTGAGACATACTAAGTTAACTAAAAATCGTCGGTTCTGATGAAGAACTAGTGGTTCGGAACTAGTAGAGCTATTCTCAGTATTCTCTCATGAGTAACCCGCGATTTTTAGTTAATGTGAAAAATGGAAAAATTGTAATTGTCTGAAATACCATTTCTGATGCATAATGCTTGAGATAAGTACTCGTAGTTTTAGGTAACAACTCATGATCCAAAAATCTTTTAATACCTATTTAAATCTGGTATCTTTTAGTCTCAACAAACCTTCCTTGTATAATTTTGCAACAACATTAAAAAATAATTCCTTAACTATAAAACACGCGTGCTGTTGGGTGGCTTCGGTAACATAGCGTCGGGTCACATCGAGGTGTGGGAGCTCCGCGGGTACAAGAAGGTGGGGTCCTGCGCGGCCCCCGACACCACCAGCCTTGTGTGGGACCCCCGCGCCGAGACCTTCGTCACTGCCACCACATACCCCAGGCTTACTGTCGGCAACGGGTATGTATTACTACTTGTATATTGTTCTTAAGTAATTTGTTTGCCTGTGTATGAAATCCGGTTTTACTACCTATCAAGAAATGCTAATTATTCTATTTTGATTTCTTTAACAAGCTAGTTTAGCATTATCCATTCATCATTCATTCATTAATAAACGTTTATAAAATCCTTTAACTTTACAAAAACACGTCTTTACGTATGTAGACTACCTCAACACTAAGAACACTCGACTTTCAGGAAATGAACGATTTTAACAATAGGCGTTTTTTTAGTTACAAGATATGGCACTACACATGCGCCCTAATGCACAAGCGTATGTGTGCTGAGAAGGAGAACCTGTTGGCTATCAGCTGGCAGCCAGGCAACTTCCCAAAGAGTGAGCTCTCTAAGATAGTACCCAAGTCCATTGAGGATGCCACGCCGAAGCCAGTCGCTGCATACAGGCCGCCCGGCGCTAAGAACAGACCTTCGACGTTCACGTTACATGAGCAGGAGAAGCCACACAGACCTGGAGAAACGCCTAGTGGTGAGATGTAGTACCTACACAGTATGCTTTCTAGTTTCTAATTTCAAAAATATAATGTACTTTCAAAAATACGTAATACCACCTGCTTACCATCATTGCATACTTACTTTATTAGCCGTAAAGTCGAAGAAGAAATCTTATCCTAAAATGTTATAATTTGGTTTAGCGGCACCATCGAAGCAGGCGATCAAGCAGAAAGAAAAACGCGAAGCTCGTAAGGCGCGCAAGGCTGAAGAAAAAGCTAGCGGGGACACCACGGCGCCGCCCGCAGCAGCCACCACTCCCCGCGCACCATTCATCTCTACAGGAGACCCTGAAAAGGACAAGAAGATCAAAAATCTCAATAAGGTAATCAATTTATCATCTTTATTTTCCATCAATACATTGAACTCCCCAGTACCATGCCACTAAAGTCGATATTCATAGCTTTTCACATCCAACCACTACCATTCAATACATAATTATACCTAACATAGAAACAACTTAAAGTAAGAAGAATACATAAAATTATCAGTTCTTCAAATCATTAATAATTTAATTTTACAATTCATTTTAAAAAAAAGCCTGATTACCTACCATGTTTTTTGTAATGATAAAACCTAACTAGAACATGGTAACACAAAGGTTGCTTTAGCCTCACTAAAGTCGATATTCATAGCTTTTCACATCCAACCACTACCATTCAATACATAATTATACCTAACATAGAAACAACTTAAAGTAAGAAGAATACATAAATTTTTTATCAGTTCTTCAAATCAAATCATTAATTATTTCATTTTAATTTAACACTTCATTAAAAAAAAGGCTGAGTACCTACCATGTTTTATCAAACTGATAAAACCTGACTAGAAAATGGTAACACAAAGGTTGCTTTAGCCTCAAATAGGAAACAAGTTAGTCACATTTAATATTCTAGTTTAGATTCCATATTATGCCTCTTAATATAGATAAGGAATTAAACAATTTCATTCCGCGTTACATTACGTCACGAACGACCTCCTTAGTTGACGTCATTATTTTTTAATTTGATAAAACTATTTTTGGTTCATACTAAAATATTTCGCCCTTGTTCCTATGAATTTTATTTATAGTTAGTCAGTCAAAATTATCTTTTCCACCCCTAAATTTAGTCCGTTTAGTGCTTACGTAATTCTACGAATTTAGGTCAACAGTTTTAGGCTTGTTTATACTTAGTTATATGTACAAACTAAAGTACATTTAAATAGTGTTTAAATACGTTCAATACTATTTACCATTTGCATAGTTTCATAAAAATGTCATGGTGGCCGGTGGCTTAAGACGCTCGCTTCTTATGCATGAGGGTGAGGGTACCCATGTAACTATTTCCAAGTTATATGTACTTTCTAAGATTATTTAGACACCATTGACAAACGGTGAAGGAAAACATCGTGAGGAAACCTGCGCTTATAATTTCTAATTATACCTTTGAAATCGCCAAACCGCATTGAGCAAGCGTGGTGATTAATTTCTTTGGTTTGCTCAGCAATGGGCATTTATAGGCTGTTGATGTGACGTGATAGTTTCACGGACGGGTTTTTTGTTTCTTTAGCTTCTCGTAATTTCGACGTTAAAATCTACTACTAAGTATAGTGGTAGTTAAGAATAAAAATAATGTTAATCAAATTATTAAACTTTAATTTATTTGAAGAGATAACGATTAAGCTCTAGAATCAAGCCTAAACCAGTTTTGTACTTGATTTACTCATAAATTTGAATATATTAGGTAATTGAAATACACTTAATGTTCTCGAAATGATCCTGCCTAACCGTACCTACTTAGAAAACACATTTTTTACATTCTTACGATATTTGCTTGACTGCTTCGTTGGCCAAGTGGTTGCCAGTGCTACTGCCAGGCAAGGGGCCTCGGGTTCGATTCTAAGGTCGGGAAAAGGACTGCTGGGTTAAAAAAAAAATATCAGCAGTAGCAGAATTATGCCCGGTATATGACAATAGACTCACCTAGGGGTTTACATGGGACTTATAACATAAATAGTGAAATATGGGTTTTACATTGTACAGTGGCATTAATTAGGCACGTTTAAGGAAACGTCAAAAATTTAAATGTCCGTCCGTCTCTGTCATTGGTCAGACGATGAACTTACGATATTATAATGGGATCGACTTTACATGTAGGTAAAAACGTTAAAACTTTCACATGTGTTAAAATAATATTTGTATTAACCCTACGGTACCCGCAATTTGATTGTCTCGTGCAGCGAATTGTACACGAGTCGTATACCTCGATTCAAGGCCATTCTAAGAATTTATAGAAAATTATAATTTAGTGACGATAGGAATGTTAAAAACAAGCATATAAAACTTAATTCAATAAAAAACGAGATCAAAATATTTTTTTGCCTATAACTTTAAATGTCTGATTGATAATAATTTGTTATAGAAATTGAGTGACATAGAGAAGTTGAAGCAACAAAAAGCAGCCGGGAAGCAGTTGGAACTGAATCAACTGGCGAAGATCGAGCAGGAGGCTGCGCTGCTGCAGGAACTTGCTCAGCTTCGGTTATGATCGGCCGCGCTCATCAAACACGAGCCCGATTACGAACAGAATATCGCCACTCTAGTGTTAAGGACAGCTCTATACTTGATCCAGTCTCGTGGAACAGATGACCTAAATACAATACAGTTATTAAACAAACATATTTTTTGTCAATCACAAAGATGTTTTGTATAATAAACCTGTTCCACGAGAATGTTTCATTGATTGTTAATTTAATAAAAAGACTTATGAGATAAGCTATAAATACGATGTGTAAACGCACGTCATAACTATTGAAATATATGCGTTTTGTGTTACTATTTTTGTATTAAATAATGCTGCGTTGAATCGTTTGCATAATATAAGATTTGAGAATGTATCTATTTACTTACGTATGTAAACCGGACTGATACCTCGATGTACCGAATATTATTGTTCCGACTGTCCGCGAGTGCAGTCACGTACAAATGCTATATTTTTCACATAAATCTGTTAATAAATTATAAGAAGAGTCATACATTTATTTTGACATGTTGAAAGCTATATCGTAAGTGTTCAGTGACATTAATACAAAGTGATTGTTAATTTGTTAAACGTATAAACATTGGTTTTTAATAAAAACATCAATCTGGTTACTATATTTTGTAAGTGGACGTTTTATTTGTTATGGTGACACCCTATCTTCAGTTTTTAATATATATACCGCTTATCTAATCTTGAACATTAATCTGAAAAAGTGCATAACTTTTGTGTTTTGACAAAATATATGTTTTGTTTTGATTACCTACACATTTTTCTACACACAAAGTTTATGAGCTACGTCAAGTAAGAGTCCATAGCACATTGATTTTAAAAAGTCAGAACACAAAGTCAGTTTTCAATATTTAATTAAAAACTTATTTGTTTTAGGCAAAGGTGCTTCCGTCGAATAATCTCATGCTTTGGATTGCAGCTACAATGCACATTACATTATGGATTTATTCAGGGAAGTGAATTATGTATAGTTTACAAGTGTAGTGCATAGAATCATATTTAATTCCTTACACACGTTAATTTCAAGTGTTCCTAATAACACAATACTACTAATAATCCAATTATTACACCACCGTTGGACGTGTGATTATTCTAATACTTCGTTACAATCCGTCGTCGAACTGGCAGGACAATTAAAAGTTCCATTTCATATTACTTACTAAGATGTTATATGCTTCCTCCCAGTGTGGTCTCATTGTAGTTAATTGCTTAAGTGTATAAAATCTGTGAGTCAGTGAGATTATTACTATGCAATAATCAAATAAAAATAATATAATTCGCGATGGGGGAGTTAAACCCGTCGTCGTCCTCTGCAGTTGCATTTACGTGATACTTCACGCAAGTATATGTGTATATTTATCTAAAATAGTGTTTAACATACGCAGCTACTTGAGTCAATAAAGGCTATAAAATGTAATCGATCGAATAAAAGTATGTTTATATGGATTTTATGTCACCTATTTTTGTTTCAGGCACAAAAACGTTTCACTATAAATAAATGTAAATAACAGTGAAAAGTGCATAAACGTGCCAAGCACGTGAAACAAACTTTAGCAATGGAGATATTCGAAATCCTTTCGAAACTTCTTTTAGTAACCGTTTGATTATCGCAAACAAACAAGATTTGACGAGTACCTACCTACCTACTTACATTTATCAGGTACCTGCATATAAATAAATGAAAACCCCACCACCCTTCCCTCTGCACCGCGTCGAGTCAGTCGCGCCGTCACTGGCTGGAAAACGTTCTCTATCCAGGAAATTTTTATTTGAACGCGATAAGATATCGATAATAAATTGATATATGCGAGGTTGGATTTTAATTGTTAACAGTAGTAGCTAGTCGGTGCTGCGCTCAGTGTGTTGACACACCGATAACTCGGTTTGTTTACGATCGGTTATTATTGCGACGGCGACGGCGGCGACGGCAGTGGTGTGATCATATTCCGTATCTAGCTGCTCGGACTGACTGAGGAGCAGTGTGGTCCTTCAATATGGATAGAGAGTGCGACGATGACGAAAATATCCAATTACTTAGTGATATTGATCGTGAACGGACTACAAGTGACTCGAATTTGAATAGTGTTATGGTTCACAGAACTGCCTCTCAGGATACGATAGTGTTTAATAGCAAGATGATGAAGACCTCCACCCTCACGGAAGACATGGGCGCCACGTGGGGAGGCCGGAGGTCTCTGCCGGACTCGGGCAGGCTGCGCCGCGTGCACTCCTGGTCTGGAGGACCTCCAGATGACATTAGCTCCGAGATTATTATATTGAGAGAACGGTAAGGTTGTATTCATATCGTAGTCCAAGGGTTTTCCGGTATAGGTATGCACAAGTACCTATTATCTTATTCACTGAATAGATGCAGCTAAGTGGGTAATTATTATAACCACACGTGCTGCAGTTTCTTACTATTATTATCAGTGTATTGTAAATGTAAAGATAACAGTCGTAATTTATCTGTACATAATCAATGTTAAGCAACTATATCGAGTATCATATGTAATCCAATAGGCACTAGACTGATCTTGGGTTTTGCTGTACCTACCTAGAAATAGTTGATAAATATAAGTAAATGAGAGACAAAATAATATTACTTGAAAAGTTGAAAGACTAAATATTATTTGAGAAAACCTGCACTGAAAGTCTTAGGTATCTTAACAACTTAGTCACTGACCTTTGCGACTAGCGACTAGCGTTAATTGTCTAGTTATGTGTAAGTTTACACCATGGACTAATAATATTTCAACATGCACTAAAATAGACAAATCTGACGACAGCCACAGCTATATAGCATGTATCTAATGTATAATTCGCAGGTTGGTTCGGACGCAGGCCCGCCTACAGCCGGGGGCAGTGCGGCACCTCTCCAGCCGGCAGAGGCTGACGCTGGCTTCCTTAGCTCTTGTGGACTTCATGAGTTTCTGTTCCATGAGTGTGATGGCGCCGTTCTTCCCCCGCGAGGCAGCAGCCAAGGGCCTCTCAGAAACCATGTGCGGCATTGTGTTCAGTTTCTATGCCATCGTTATGTTCCTTACATCGCCTCTATTTGGAAAATTCGTAAGTATTGTACGCACCTATTCGAAATATGAACCCAATGCATTAAAATATGGATCTTAAGATAGTATTACTAGTATTTGTATGTGAGTGAAAGATCTTAAGGCTAGCAAGAAGTAGTTTTACCATTATTACCTACATATCTACCTACCTTTAAGTTTTTAAACATTTTAATATTGCAATCCATTGACACTTGCGAAGTTGTTTAGTGTTTATCGGGCAGGTGACCGTCACTTGACACACAACATAGGGGTACCTAGCACCTTTTCATGTATATATGTATATCACGTACACAAACTTGGATATACCTATTAAATTGGGTAGGTATCTATATGTACCTATATGTAGTGTTAACACTTGCTATCAATCGCAAACAGTCTTCAAATACTAGTTCACAAGTAAACAAGTACATACCTCCCTAGATGTAGGTAAGCCAAAGTCTTACATGAGACATTATTATTAGTGGTTTACTTAGCCCTTCAAAAGTTTCCGTACTTATATTGTGAAATCAAATTAATTTTTACCTAGAAGTAACGAGGACCTTCTATTGAATTTATTCTAGTGATAGAAAAAAGAAAGAAAAAGAAAGAACGAAAAAAACTTTATTTCACGCCAAAAAACAAGTGACATGTACCTACAAATAAGTCATTGCATTAGTAGGTAATGATGGATACATGTTCATGTCCCGAGTCTGCCGCGAAATGGGACCAGTTCAACATGTGCAAGACAGGGCCTTGCGCTGGTATTCTACTGGCCCCTTAAGTGATGCGTAAAGTTCTAAGTTGTTGATTAATTTTAGGAGCATACTATGTCTATTTAAGTCCAGTTAAAAATAGACTCCTAAAACCCAAGACTATATCATATCGTGTTATGTTCCTTCGCCCTTAAAGGTGTTAATTAATTTAAACACCTATCTATTATCTTATATACTTATGTAGGTGCATTTATATTAACCTCAAGCCATTGTTATAATAGAAAGTTGACAAAGTACTTAGCATTATCTTTATAGATATGATTGCACAGTTAGTATACACTGTGCCGCTTCAGGCCAGGCTAGGACCACGAATCATGAATACCTAGATGAATGAGAAGTCATGTTTCTTAAACATAGAAGATTCTTTTACATTAGGTACTTTCGTTCGTCCCTAATGTAGGTACAGTCAATGGTCAAAAGTCCACTGCCACCGTGAGTGATGTTCACACGGCAATGCGTAAGTAATTTCATATTAATGTATAAACACACACACGCGCACGCACACGGATAAAAATATGCGTGTGCATGTGTGTGTAAGCGCTGCAGCGCAACCGATAGTAGTCTTACCATAGTATAAAGAACAAAGTAGGTTATCTTCATACAAATGCTCCGCGCGCGGCTTATATGTGTGCGCCGTAGTATCTATGCGTCGACGCACGCACACTTTAACAAAATCTCGACCCGTTTCTCAGTGCGCCAGGCAGGGCTGACACTGTACGAGGTTCGCGAGCGCTTCACGGCTTTTCGGCACTGTTCAATGAAATAAAAAATGTCTGATACTCGTAGAAGAACGTATTGCTGTGTGTTTGGGTGTCTTAATAATTAATCGATTCCAGAACTGTCTCTGTTCAGATTAGGTACCTATTGAACAGGAAAGGTAAGCTAGTCACTTTTTCTAGCATAATATAATTTGTAGGTACTTGATGATGAGATACCTACTTACTTATTCTTACTCTTATCATTCTTCATAGTTCCTACTCAACCAGAAATGTAATTACCTACTATACCTACTTAAATATTATAAGAAAATGTGGTATTGTATTGTTTATTTCACAGTTTATCTGATTGGTTAAGAGCGTAGCCGAGTCGCATTTTTCCATATAAATGTATTCCCAAATTTACTTTCTGAATACTATGTATAGAGCTAAAGTTTATTTTAAGAAGTTAATAATCTTTTTATAAGCTTTTAATTTTTACTAAATTTATAAATTGATAAAATATTTAATCATAATATGCTTTTCATTTCATAAATTTAGATCAAGTGCTGCTTGTTCGAAAATATTAACTAAAAGTAAAAGTGACAACCCTGGGGATCAACGCAAGAGTAGGCTAATAACTCGGCGGGCGGCCTTAGATAACCTACTGTGTTCTTTATACTATGGTCTTACGGTGGACTTTTGGACCTTTGACTGTACATATAGGGCTTCCATAATTCTGATTGGTAGGTAGGTAAGTCCTTCTATTGTTCTAATAAAATAACATTAACTGTACAGGGTGTAAACGGAATGCTCCCGAAACGCTGACAAAAAATGTTTTCGTTTAATTCATGCAACATCAGCTTTGATTATAACTATCTATACTTATAATAAATCTGTAGATAGGTCAATTTTGTACATGAAATATATTTCCAAAATAACTATCAGGGGGTGATTAGGGATCGATACTGATACCAAATTTACAATCAGTAATTTTTTTGTTTTGTCTGTCTCTGTATATTCACGCAACACGCAAAAACTACCGGTCTGATTGCGATGAAACTTGGTATAATTATACTTTAATATCCTGGACATCACGGTACTTTTTATCCCAAAGAAGTATATACACTAAAAACAAATTTAATTGTACGGTTTGATCTGAAGACACGATGACCAAATGAGTTTGTCGATGTTAGGGTGGGTACACGAAATGCTGTAACTATAATTAGTTTAAAACGCTATTAAAAATGTGAACATTTATGAGTTTGTGTGTTTATTTGTTACCCAATCACGGCAAAACGGCTGAAGGGACTGGGATGAAAATTAGAACAGATGTAGATTATGTTCTGGAGTAAGACATAGTCTACTTTTTATCCCTGGAAACGCGGGCAAAGCCGCTGGCAGAAGCTAGTTATTACATAAAAGAAAATTTTAATAAGTTACTTTAATGAAAATAATTCTTGTTTTTACCATCACGTGTCGGCGATTTTCGGGAGCGTTCTATTGACACCCTGTATAATACTGTATGTACCTATACCTTGTTCATGTGTGCTGTTTTCCTATTGCAGTTACCAACGGTTGGCGCAAAGTTCCTATTTACGGGAGGCATGTTTGTCGCCGGCGCTTGCAATGTATTATTTGGGTGAGTTTTGTGTAAACATTATTGGAATAATTGAGTGTTTACTCAGCCAGTAATATGGAATATTTTGTTCGTTTATTATAACATAACATCACGCCTTTTATCCCCGAAGGGGTAGGCAGAAATGTACATTATGCCACTGTACAATGTAACACCCACTTTTCACTATTTATGTTATGAGTCCCATCTAATAGGGGGTGAGCCTATTGCCATATATCGGGCACAATTCCAGACTTCGTGCTACTACTAAAAATTTTTAAAAATCCCAGTAGTACTTTGCCCGACCCGGGAATCGAACCCGAGACTCCTCGCCCAGCAGTCGCACTTGCGACCACTCGGCCAACGAGGCAGTCATTTATTATTTATTTATTTATTATGGAATTAGGCGGTAAACGAGCACACGGATCACCTGATGGTTAGTGCAAATCAGCGCCGCCCATTGTCACCCGCAACACCAGAGGTGTTACAAGTGCGTTACTTCTGGGGACTAGGAATTTGAGGATTGTTGTGGATTCGGGGATAAGGGAGATAGGGTATGATTTACGTTTAATGAACAGCGTAAACATAATGAACCTAGTTACGAAGAAAGCTTGTAGCTTTCCTAAATAGGTACCTAATGTTGTTTACAACGAGAGACTATCACATTGCTACGCTATCTAATCTGTGGTTTGATAGGATCTAACTGTTACACTCCTTCATTAATAAAATAATATAGAATGGCTTGCTTTGAACCAATCATGGTGTTCATACCTTTAAAATAACCTTGGGGCTCTTTTTTGAGGGTAAAATTATTCAATGACTTATCTCGCCCGGGTAAGGCGAGAGGGAGTGCTAGACTCTTACTGACTAAAAACCACCCCGTTCCTACTCCTGCACTTCGAACCGGAGCCCCGGCAACAACCTTAGGGCTACAATGACAATGTTATAGTGTTATGCGTATGTTTTAGTTGCAATATTTTATTAGTAGATAATTGCTTTACAATAAAAATTACAAGTCAATTTATTCTAATCTTTTTTGAATGCAGATGAATGGCAAGGTCATTACATTAGATTTTCTTCGTTTCGTTATGGCATAACACAAGTTGAACATTTACTTCAGTCGGCATACAATAGTTCACGTTTTCGCATTTTCTACGCTTATTAACTGAATTATTAACTTTTCCGATTAAGCGTAGCACGTTAAAACGTACACTTTTTTGTGAACAATCAAAATTAAAATCTAAATAAATAGACTTATATTACATTTTCATATGCTGCAGGCAATATATGGTCGTCGTTTTACCTCCCTGCCCTTAATGCCCCTATGCCTCCCCTTTATGCTGGACACAATTTTAATAAAATATACTGATAAATATTTGTAATATTTGTTTATGTATGCCACCTACTACATTTCAATTACTTTTATTTCTTGTATTTTTAAAAACTGTGGCCCACACTAGCATTTTCTCCTGTGTCGTGGGCGCGTTTACAAACATACAAGTTAACATATACGGAAATCAGGTTATTGAGAATACTTATGCAATTAAAACTTTTGATTAACATGTGTCCCATTAGAATCATGGTCACGACGCTAGTGCAAATACTAAGTACTAGTATTAAATATTTGCGTACATTTTAAAAACTTAGAAAGCGACTATTGCGAGGCGAGTATTAAGTAGGTACTTACAGATTACGAATTTCAACTTGTAACTAAACCGTTAAACACACATGACCGCTGCCGCGGATCGCTTACCATCGGGTGAACAGCCTGCTCGTTTGCGTCCTATTCCATAAAAAAAGTATAGTTTAAGGCCCTGTCTACAAGTTCGCTTTTTGTTTGTAGCACACTTGCGTTAATTGAAGACGCGCAGATGTTCACGATACTCTGCTTTGTGGTGCGCGGGATGGAAGCTCTCGGCGCGAGTGCCTACTCCACGGCCAGCTATGTGTTCGTGGTGAACACGTTTCCTGATAGCATAGGCTCGGTGCTCGGCATCCTTGAGACGTTCATCGGTCTCGGCATGTCAGTCGGACCAGCCATCGGAGGCCTTCTCTACACGGTAATTGTATTAGATTTATGAAAGATATTGTAATTAGACACGTATAATGGATGTTCAGTTAAAGTTTTGACAGGTCACATTCTGCTAAAGAATTAAAGTTTTCATCAGAATTTTCAGCTACGAGCAACTCACCTGTAATATTGTCTATCAATATGAAATTAACATAAGTACGAGTGTGTACCTACATTTTCATTCTAAACTCACCAAAAACGTTGTTGAATATTCTAATTAATCTGAGTAACGAGCACGCGCTGAACATAATTATAATAATCTGTAAAGTTATCGTAACGGGTTTAATTAACGCTCCTACACATCTGTCAAATTAATTAGTCGTCAATACGGTTCATGTCGATATCGCTTCATGAACTTATCGTTACGCAAATTTTAAATCAGGAACTATAACGTGCACGACATGTCAGATGTACATAATTGTGTTAAAACGGTTAGATTTATGAACTGTATTTGGTATGTTTTTGTAATAGTAAGCATATCCTTTAGGTAGTCTTTGCAACTTAACGTTAAAATATTGTCGTAGCATAGCACCGTAACGTTACACTACTTCATACTTGGCACATTTGGCGTATCTTAGAACATTAATTGAATATGGCGTAGCAACGCGTAGCGTATAACTAAATAGTGTAGCAAGTAACGTAGCGTGTGCGTATAGTGTCGTAGCGCACTACGTGGTAGAACTAAATGTCGTAGCAAGTTACGAAGCGTATGCGTGTAGTGTTGTAGCTCACTACGTCGTAGAACTAAACGTCGTAGCAAGTAACGTAGCTTATGCGTGTAGTGTCGTAGAATTTAATGGCGTAGCAAATTACGTAGCGTATGCACGTAGTGTCGTAGCGCACTACGTCGTAGAACTAAAAGTCGTAACGAGTTACGTAGCGTGTGCGTGTAGTAACGTAGTGTCTGACGTCGTAGTATTGGTTGCAGCGAGTATCGTTGAAATTATTGACGGCAGAAGTAATATTACAAAGTGAAGATTGAAATTTTTCTATTCACATGTAAGGTAGTGTAGGTAGGACTTAATGTGACTGGACGTCTCTTTTCTGTGGCCTATACAAAAGTTGTGAATGTATAATTACTTATGTAAATGTTCCAGGTAGATCGGGGGCTTCGGGCTACCATTCTACACTCTTGGCGTTATCATGGTGTTGACTGTGCCCATCAACTTCTTCCTGCTCACCGATTGCGAAGGTACCTTACTCAGCTTAATATATTACGAAGTAAATTGTAAAAATTGTCTACTGAAATATATTATTATCTGTCGGGTCAAGTCATAACACAAAACTTTAAACGAATGCGCTGAATGATTTGTTGAAGTATGTATAACTGTTGTAGTTGTTTGACTCACATTTTTAATTCTTTTACAGAGTATGTGTCCGGTTCTAAAACGGCTTCAATTATCGCTTTGTTCAAGATTCCTTCGATAATAATAACGGGTCTTGTGATAGTGATTGTGTCCAATACCTGGGCCTTCCTAGACCCGACTCTGGAACCACATTTACGCCAATTTGGCCTCTCCACCGAGCAGATAGGGTTGATATTCCTACTATTCTCCAGCCTCTATGGAATATTTAGCCCTATTTGGGGTTGGGTTGCAGATCGGTAAGTTTGTTTTAGGGTTATTATAACAGTTTTAAGTCAGAATCTTAGAATATTCATTGCGGTACAAAAGTTTTTTAACAAAACCATATTTTAGCAAGTTATTTCTCAAGTTCGATCTTAAAATAATTCTAATTGATTTTGTTGCAAGACTGAGTAAAAGTCTAGGGTCGTACCCAAAATGTAGTTCGTAATTTCGAGATATATTAAATTGAGACCACGTTCGTACTAATACAACATAAATGTTGAAGTTTGATATACCTATGCATGTTCCAGGGTGCACAATCACTGGTGTATGATGGTGTGGGGTTTGTTCCTATCTTCAGCAGGATTGTTACTTCTAGGACCTTGTCCTTTCATACCGGGACTACCAAGGTAAGGTGCTTTACAAGAAATTTTATTTTTATCGACTCTCATTATCATACTTAAGTTGTTGTAGTTGATCAAATATCTTGTCTAATGATCCAAGATATGTATTAACTTTAATATTAAGGATAAATTAATCTTACTATTTTGCGACTTGTTGACATCGATTAAGCTTTTTATCGTGTTCGTCTTCATTATGATGACACTGATTTTACGTTTCAGAGACCTGTGGCTAGATTTAGTAGCTTTATCTATTCTGGGTATGTCTGTGGCTTTGACACTCTTGCCCACCTTCCAAGGAGTGTTAACTAGTTCTATGTAAGTATTACTGAATTTTCTGATGTTATAAAAGTTCAGAGGCATGTCTACAAAACTAAAATAGAGTTACCGTCTATCAATATTAGGCTTTGACCTTTAAAAGTCCATTTAATTTTATAAATACAACCTTCTCATATTTGAGTTAATTCTTATCTTTTGAATGACTTTTGTATTAAAATCAACATTAACTTAATCAAAGAATGCTTGTTTTTCACATCAGTTACGAGGGCGGTTGCCCCGAGGCGCTGACGACGTACAGCGCGGTGGCGGGCGTGTGGTCGTGTTGCTACTCGCTGGGCGAGGTGCTCGGGCCGGCGCTAGGGGGCGCCCTCACCGAACGGTACGGGTTCCCGCTCTGTGCCACACTATGTGCTGCTGGCTGCTTTACTATGGTACGATCTTCTTCTGTGATAATCGTTGTCACGAACATTACGTTGATAGTCATTAGAGTTAATTATATATAATACTAGCGGCCCGTCCCGGCTTCGCACGGGCATTAAACATTACATTTAGATTTGTTAATTTTAACACATTCATAATAAAAACTTGATTGCGACTTCTCGCTCTTGACGTCTGTTGTCGTTCTCTCTGATCTTGAAGGCGTTGGAAACGCTCAGAGCTTGATTCCCTAGTGCGAGATTGAATATTTCTGATATTTTGCTCTTCAAGCCGCTGCAAACGCTGACTACTTGACTCTCGCGCATGCACATGAGAGGTTCTTAGATTTTGTTCAGTACGGCGCTGCGAACGCTCAAGACTGGACTCTCGCGCGCGTACCTGAGAGGTTCTCAAATTTTGTTGAGCTAGACGCTGTAAACGCTCAAGACTCGATTCTCGCGCGCGTGCTTGAGAGGTTCTCAAATTCTGATCAGCTAGTCGCTCTGAACGCTGCAAACTGGATTCTCGCGCGCGTATTTGAGCGGTTCTCATATTTTGTTCAGCGAGCCGTTGCGAACGCTCGGTACTCTACTCTCTAGCACGCGATTGTGCCACATATTCTCAGTTTCTGATGAAGATTCTTCATTTCGACGTATTTTTGATGCCCTGGCCTGGGAACCATTTCTAGAAAGTTGAGATCTTAATCTTTTAGGCATTTCAAAATGACAAAAGAAAAAATGCCTTTGAACTAAATTAGCATAACTGTAAGCTATATATGCTACTATATTACAACGTACACAACTACCTACTATTTATTAAAATTAAATTGAAAATCATGAAAAATATTCAAGTAATTTATTAGGTTAATAACTAAGTGAACAATATTTTATATAAATGGGTTTAGTTCTGAAAAGAACTTTTTAAATCGGTTTAGTTACTTTCTAAACGAAATATTATCAAGCGTAAATTCCGCACACGTCCATCACGTAGAGAGCCGACCGCGCGAGTGAGCCGCGCGGCAAGTTTATTTCGTGATCTTAACCCCCCTCCCGTACCCCTGCCCGAGTGACGCCTACAACGCATAGCTAGCCGAATACAGTTTATTTTTTAATTTTTTTTAACTCGTGATATCTTTTGAATGGATTGTCAGAATCGAATAATTCAAAAAGCAATATAAAGATATTGAAGCAGTCTTAAATAATACATCATTTATTTTGATAAGGGTTAATACCAAGGTACAAATAAAGAGCTTTTTGTAGCGGTGGTATTTTAATTTCTTTTTTTCAATAAAAAAACGCTTATTGTGACATGACTGTAATAGTTAGAGATATGCTGCCACTGATTTTTTGTAGATAATGGTGTGTTCTAAAAAAATGTAGTATATCATTTTGTTCTATCATCAATATTTTTCGCAGCGCACGCGATGTAAGGTAGTTTTTTGATATTTTTTTCACACCTTGTATTACGTTATCGTAATTTTAGTACGGATGCCTATTTTTTTTGAAAATGAAATATAGCCTATGTCACTCAGAAATGATGTAGCTTTCCAACAGTGAAAGAATTTTTCAAATCTGCCAAGTAGTTTCGGAGCCTATTCAATTCATACAAACAAACAAACAAACAAAAAATCAAACCTTTCCTCTTTATAATATTTGTATAGATAGATAGAATATGTATTTGAAAATACTAGATGGTTGTGGAGGATATAAGTGGCTTTGTGTAAAATATCCTTATTTATTCGAATCTGGTAAAATGCATTGGCTTAAAATAAGAAGTTACTACTAATAAAAATACTCAATAATAAGATTATTTACTTAAAAAAATATGTTACCTTATACGTTAAGCATGTTATTTTCGTTTCTAGGCAGTAGTAACTCTAACATTCTTCTCTCTGCGCGAGTCCCGTAAGTGCACGCAGTCGAGTGGCAGCGCGTGCGACTCGATCCCGTACACGGACACGACGTGGAACAGCACCAACTTCTGTCGCACGCGCAGCGCGCCGCAGAGCTTGGCGGAACATGCGCCGCTGATTACACCATGTTCTTGTTACAATACACACGGTAAGTCATACTTGGTATATGTAAAATATGTGTGAGGTTTAAAGGGGTATTAACACATATAAGTAAGTGTTTCCTTTTACTATGAGCATTTTAATGAAACGTTTTGAATTTCCACAGGCTTTACTTACGGAACTTCTCCTCCGAAACATATCTGTCTACTACACAACAAGAGCAATAAAAGCGGATACGCTAGTATCGCTGAAATCGCCGCGTACATACTCAAATTTCAATTCGTCACAAGTTTCTACATAAAGATGAGGAAATCACGACGAAAAGCCGTCACACCTCCACCCTCCAAGCCCGTAGTCGACGAAGAATTGTACCAAAACTACCTTGATAAAGAAAATGATGAATCCCGTATAAAACAACGCATTAACTCAGATAGTTACATTAATATGACCAAGAAAAGCGATAATTACTGTTCATATTTAGAAGACGCCATCTTCGGTAGTCCTGATATCATGAACAATGTGTCGGCTGATCATTTGAAAGTTAAGAAATACAACACGGGGCTAGTTTCCACAGAGAAGCGCTGCGAAACTGAGAAAAGGACCACGTACGAAATAATACGACATAATCTCGAGAAAGTACAATTTTATGAGCAAGATGAGTGCCCGGCGTTTGAAGATATTTTTGTAAGGACAAACTACTCTTGTAATAAATTATTATAAAACCTCATTCAAAAACTTGCTTACATTTTTATTTGGTTTCGCAGGATAGTTGCGGCTGCAGAGATGGTGTTACCTACGTACGAGGCACAGTGACTGTGTCCTCCACTGGCGCCTGTGAAGTGTAGGATGTCGTAGGTACTTTGGGTTTTAAAAATAATTATGTAAGATTTTATAGATTTAATTCATACCAATTTAACCAAATAAAATTCGAAACATTAAATTAAATTAAAATATCTATAATAACATCTTTGTATTATTTTAATTGAAAGTTTATTTATTCTCTTTAACATTATCTAGCCCCTGACGGAAAATCAATAGCAAAAATATTTTACGAATAGCGCCGCGCACAGGGGTAGCAGAATGTTGGTGGAGTTCCCTTTCACAAAGCTCCGACATTCACAAAACTGGATCGAAACACGACCGCCTTTGGATTATGTTTCCCTAGTACAAACGACCTCTGCTGACGATTTCGCGATGTTGTCATGGAGATTTTGCAACTCAGCCTGACCACTGTCCACTTGTGTAATCCGGAAAATCTGAAAATGTTATCGGAAACAACCCTCCTTTCCGTGCAGTTAACCTTGTCGAAGGAAAGTCCCCGTAACGCCACGACGCCAACATTGGTTTTCCACGACCAATCCCGGACCCACTTGTATCCGGATAACATAAGTTAGGAACAGATTTACTTGTAAAAAGTTTGTGTAAAGACATCGGAAAGTAAAAGTTGAACGTAGATATTACTCAAGTCATATATTATGATGTTATTATGTTTTCCAGTGATTTATTCATTTAATTAACCGACTTCATGTGGTTTATGTATATTTATAATTCGGGATGAATTTGGAAAACGTCATGAAAAGTATGGAAGGTTTTCGAGCCAGGGTAAATGCAAGTTTAATTAATCGTCCCTTAATATTTTATTGACAAACTTTAATAATTCACCTAAATATGGAATACAATCGATTTTCAGACATTATTTACACATATGTGTTTATTTATAGGATTTTACCTAATAATAACAAATGAAACAAAATCATTCTATTTTCATGCTAACACACGTTTACAAGTCGCGTTGGTATGTTATCGGTGACTGTTCAATAGATACGACGTCCACAACACCAGGCTAGCATAAGGTTACAAGATATTGTTTTTAGTTTTCGGTACATATTCGATTGATGAAACTGTTTAACTTTCAACTTAATTTTAATACCGACTTCTAATTAAAATAAAATAAGCTACAAATAGGTTAAAATAACAAAAAAATGTTGTACGTACAGCAATTGTTTGTTGCTAATATTAATTTTAAAGTTTGCCCCAAATATTTTAAGCGCTTTGTGTTTACCCGGGCAACGTAAGGATTGGACCGCGTGTACAGAGGGTTGGGGGAAAATCACAGAGGGTGCGACCCTCTATTGCGAGAGCGAGACAAAATTTATTGTCCTTTTCTATTGATGTACTTACCATGTTGTACGAATAAAATGTCTTCAATACACTGCTATCCTGGTACCTCGTGCATTTTGTTGTGGAGTAACAATAGTTTAGTTCTGAAGTGGTTGCTAAGGGTATTAAAACTACTATGTAAATGTTTCACTTTGGATTAGAGAGAGTACTCTTTGTGGATGAGTAAGAGAAGATATTAGAAGTCTATGAACCCATAAAATACTTATAATTAACTTTATGAAAGAAATATTAAACAACATAATCAGGTTAGATATAAAGAAAATAAAAACTATATATTTAAAGTTAGTATACCTAACACCTGCGAAGTTTACTTACAATCATGAGGTAAGAGTTTCACAATTTGATGGGGGTTTGAATAAATCATATTGTCTGAACTATCAAAAGTTAACCCGAATATATTCTTGATGGTAGCTATTTCGGTCAACGTGTGGTTCTCCTTGTGCGCTACGTAGATGGAACTTTTAGCGCAGAAGTGTGCGACGCCTTTGTGGTTTACTTCAATAGCCCGGAACTCTTTCGGTCCTTGGTATGGGATGCGGTCAGTTTTCCCCTTCTTTATCTCAAACAAGCCATTCTTGGTCGTTATGAATGTGTCACCCTCTCCATCAATCGCGAATTGGAATATTTTTTCGTGAATATGTTGGTGAAGTGAGACATTTTTCGTCTTGAAATCGTATTTGTGCAGGTGTTGTGACGGGTACTGTATGAAGTACAAGTGGTGATCATAGTATTGTAGATCCCAAATGTCATGATTCTTGACAATGTGCTTCAAGTTCCCGGGTGTCTCGAGATTATCAGCGTAGATGCCTTCACTGCCTCCGAAATACGCTGTTTTGTTATGTTCGTCGACGACGACGGCGAAACCGTTTGTTACTTCTTTTATTTCAGTAGGCATCGTGTCGTTTATCTTCACGTAAGCCATCCCGAACGTGTCCTGGGTGTCATCTCCTTGATTAAAGCTGAAGAATATTTGATGTCCGTGGTTGTATATGGCCAGCTGGTATGGACGGTTGATTCCATTCATAATAATGTGTCTCTTGTACAGTTTTCCATGCACATGAACCCCCGTGCAGTTTCTATTGGCGTGATGTGGCTTAGATTTAGGTTTCTCAGTTGTTTTACCATACGTGCCAACTATCACACAAATCAAAATAATTGTAAACTTCATTTTCACGAGAGTAACAACAGAAATGGTTCACGTATGACTGTGTATTGAATACTAACTACAAACTACAGCAATCGATGAAATTTTATATGACTTGATAATTTGTAATTAATGATAGATACAACATAATATATTATGAAACTGAAACTACGTGATAAAAGATTATTCGTAGTTATTTGTTAAACTCTAAATTATATATTTATACGTAGGTACTGGTATTTTGATGTGTAGCACAGATATATTAAAGAAGATGTGTAGGCTTATTTAATTTTACTAATTTATTCTATTAGATAATTAAATAAAAGCCATATTTTCTGTTACGTGCAATAAAATTGTTCCTAAAGGGTTGTTGTTCGAAAGGGCAAGTCTAGACTATACAACAAATGAATGCCTGTGTGGTGTTCACCCCTCAGGCATGTTCCGTCGTGGGTGCCCACTGACGTCATCGCCAAACCACCGGACTGAACTGTAACCCAACAAAGAAAATTCAACTGTATCGTTGTTCAAATAAAGTTAGAATTTATTTATGGAGGTGTTAATTTCAGCTTGTAAAGAGGCAGTCGGTTTAATTGGATCAACGGCGTTTACAACTGTAAACAATTTGTTGGATTTGTTGATCGACCTTGACGCTGAATTCTAAAATTTAAAGTAACTATTCGTATTAGTTTGTAACTCGTTCTAATGCAACGTCACATTAGTTAAAAAATTAAACATTTTTACCCACAAAACATAATTATCTAAACATAGGTACCTTCTTTAGAATGTTTTGCGTTTTTACCTAATCAAAGAAAAAAGGCATACCTAGTGGAATGTACGTATACCACTAAAAGCTTATATAGGTGATAAAGCTTAGATGCCTTATTTAGATAGTAACTGTAAGAGCGAGTGCCGACTAAGTAGGTACGTACTACCCAGGTTAGGTAGGTACCTATCTAAATATAGGTGTGTCTGGACCCATCCCTCAGGGAAAACAAGATGGGTTGTTATTCAATACAGTTCAAGGTGAGAATGTTGAATAACTATTTATATAAAGTAGGGTAACGAAAATAAATTAGATTTATTTTTGGTAACTCACGTGAGAGAAGCCTTGTGTTGACGTAAATAGGCTTCCAGGGCACGTACTCACTGTTTCCGATCTAATTTTACGTGGACTCACGTAACATTTTACCTGATTACCTGTGTGCTTTGAAAAGTGCTGTAATTGCACCGTGTCTAGACTGTAATCACTTGTCTGCTTGCTTTAACACATCAATATAATATTACTATCGTGGCTCCATGGTTTGTTTTGGGTTTATTCTTTCAGTAAAGGATTAGTAATGTATACATATTTTTAATTTAAATTAATTCTGAATTAAAAATACATAAGTATATATATACGTAAATACGTAAGATAAGTATCAACCACTTTTACATCATTAACAAAGTTTAATGAAATGAAAGAAATTAATCGATTTAAAGTTTTTATTCTTCAAAAGAACAGGCACGTTTACTTACTTAAAATAATTATTGCTTTAATAAATCTTTGGTATTAAAAATAAATAATAATAACTTAGACATTAAGTGAAGACTTTGAGGAGAAATAAGTTTTAACAATAGTATCGATCTACAGACTATATACCTAGGAATTCAATATGGACGAAGACAGTGACTACGTTTTGATAGAGTGGTCATTTAATCCCATAGTAACAAGTTAAATACACAATAGATTCTACAACACAGCTTTGTAGATAGTCAAGAAAGTTCAGCAAATTAGAGTGCGGTAGATGCACCATAATGTCGGTTGTATAACTCTGAAATATCAAAGGCAGACTGCCTAATGCGCCTGCAATGTTGGCAACAGTTGCACCCCAGATACAAGTTTTCTTGCAAAAAGATTATCTGCATTCATTTTTCAAAACATTGTGCTATTATGACGTCAACCCGACATCATATCGTTTACTAAAATGAATTCAACATTGAAAATAAATGGTCGTTTGTTTGAATATGGTGTATCATTGTAATAGACATCTAAGTAATTGCTTATTATTACTACTTATATATAGATAGTTACACGAACAATGTTTGACTGTATTACCTACTTATTATATATTGCTGCCTCATTCTTAATTTGGTGGTAATAAAAATGACAACTTGTCTTGTTACCGTTTGTGTCAACTACCTATAAATAGTTATAGGTACGCACATTGCCCCGAACTTCGCAGTAAACAAATTAAAAATGCCATCTTGTTCATCAATCATTTTCACATTATAAGGACGGATATTTAATAGCGACGAAAACGCTATAGAACTATGTCTACGCTACGGTTGGGGGCTCTTACCGTCCCCAAAATCTCAGATCTTTCAAGTGCAGACAAGGACGCGCGAGATGAAACCGGTTTAATATTTTGCACAGTCAATAAGCAAGTCGAGGGCCCCAGACAAACACAATGCCACATTTAACATCGCAACTGCAAAATTTCACGAAGCAGACGTTTTGTAGCTTTTGTTTGCCATAAACTTTGTATTTCAAAGAACAGTCTTAAACATTAATAACGTACTTGATATTTTTATGACGGTTTCAAATATATACCGCAGAATACTAAATGTGTGATGTCTGAAACCACTCTGAACCATTGTATAAATACGAACGCCAACAGCAAGGGTCCCAAAACTTCCGCGACACGTTTGGCGCAGCGCATCCATTAATAATCTGCTTTCAAGTTCATCTAGCGTTATGTCATCTTCGATAGTTATGTAGTTACTGTATGGGCGTAGAAACAGACTGTCGGTGATATCATTTTGTCCGATTAAATAAATATCGCATAAATACCTAAATAGTCTCTAGATAACACGGATTTTAATAGGACTTTATAACGAAAGTCAATATTAGAAAAATGAAGGAAGAAGCTAAACTAAAAATAGGTTTGTCGGCACTGTTACCGCAGACTAGTCTTCTAGAGGCTACGGAGAGTTTCTTGTTCTGTAGTAATGCATGAACGGAGTCCAGCTCCCAGCGCTCCATGAAGCCAGGCTCGCGAGAGAACAGCACGGAGTACAGCTGTGCTGACTTGCCATTAACTTGATCTTGACAGAAGTTTAATAGGAGATGGTCGTTGACTGCTTTTAGCACTTGTATTGTGCCACTAAACTGTTGATACGTGGGCCGCGCCGTCAATGTTCCTGTAATGGACACGGAATCCGATTAATTTCATTGCTAAGTTGATTCATCAGCATTCGTCATACACGAAATCAAATTAATTGGTGATTTCCGTTGCCAGTTCTTCATGTATTTGGTCAGTATTTTAAGAGATACCAACATTAGGTACTGCAGTAAATACTATACTTAATTATAGATACTGTCTCACCGTTCTGTCCGTTGAACACCTGCCAGTAGCCAGCGGAGTCGTTCTTGAAGTATAGCGAGTACTCGATGGTCTGGCCAGCCTCGTCCCATAGCAGCCTCAGGTGCCTGTACTCGTGACGGAACTTCGCGTTAATGTGCTGCACGTGGAACAACTGGTTCTCCGTTGAAGGCTGGAAATTAAAGTGGAAAGACTCTTAGATCCACTTGTCAATTTTTATTTGATAAATTGGGATTGATTGATATAAAAATGAAGCAGTGGTTGATGGATATAATGATTTGTTAAAAAGATTTTAAAGCAAATGCAAAAGAAAGAGTAAGTATATTTATCAAGCTGACTTAATGAAAAAGAACATATGAAAGGTATAATCTTGTTCGAAAAATTTATGTATAATAAGTATTATACATAATGTCTATTTACAATTTTATAAAGTGAAAATAATTATCAATTTTATAATTGACCAAGAGTAGCTACGCAATCGGGACTACGGAGCCTTACAGCGAGCCCACAAGTTCCTAATTGTGTGCACACTACACATTACACTCATTTATCATCTACTCATGTTTATAAATGGTTCAATTTGTTAAGACAATCATATTTATTAGACAAAGGTAAACTGTATTTTAAATGATTCCCAAAAAATGTAAACAGTTTCCAAGTTTCAATTGAACCTGCATGACATTAGTCATCATGTTCTAGACTGCACTATTTCTCAGATTAAGTGGGTCAGTCAGATTGACCTCAGGCAAGGGTCACATGCGTCACCGTGGGTGTACCATACAGGTCACATTAATTGTACAGTCTTTTGAAACCTCCTGAGATGATGCCGATATAAGTAGATAATAAAGTGGGAGCAGCTAATTGTGTAATTGTCATATATTATTATGTACGTAGGTATGTGTGAGTCAGTTAGAGTGACCAAATGATATGTGAGGTTCGTTTTCAGAGTCGCTCGAGCGAAAACGAATAACATTCGGTTCTACGGTTTCCCTCGGTCAATTGAAGGTGCCAATGTTTTGTTCAAACACTGTTTGCACGAACACGCGTCATATGTAACTAGGCAATGTGGGCGCAGTATTTTAAACATGTCTATCATTATTTCTGCTTATTGTACTCGTAATGTCCTTGTTATTCTGCCAAGATGTCTAATAAATTGCGATAAATGGAATAACACGTATTTCCTGAACACAAGCTATATGAAATAAATAGAAATAGTCAATTCCAAAATACAAAACCTTTGTAATTGCATACAGTAATGATACGTTGGATATTGTTGTTGGGAATACAAATGATGCATCTCTAAATATACTAAGGCACTCCTTTAGCAGGTTTATAATTATTCCGTATTTGCGCTTCCTCAGTCATAATAGAAATCAATGTTGAATCTCAATAGATACCTAACCCACCTTAGAATGAACGGAGGTTGAAGTAATTTCAGCGATAATGTTGTTTTTTATTATCGTTCACCTTAACAAAAACTATTTTAGTCGTTTATCAACAAAACGTTTATCAGTCAGACACGTTTACATTATAAGGTGACATTTACTTAAGAGAAGAGGCATTTATTTATGTCTGATTATGTTCACGGTTAAAACAACAATTTACATCACTATTAAATAATTGTGCATAAAAATAGGCGGAGTCACAACCTGGTTATAGGTTTGACTTTGACTTTGACCTAGTGTACTTTTACGATATTGTACGATATTCTATAAATAGGAATACTTACTACCCTATACATATTGTGCAATGAATTCTACGACAGTATTGATCTTAATGTAGTTAATATTAAAGATTGCGCAATGATTCAACAAACGTTTGAACGAGGTTAAAATTGTGCAATATTTTTTTACAAGTTTCGGCTCGCTGTAAAGGCATAATATTTTTCTTTTCAGAGATTAGAGCGGTCGTGGTCGGTCATCGGTCAGTAGGTAAACCATTATTAACCCATAAATATTTTATTTTATTTATCCGCCAAAACATCTGATATGACACTCGCTCGCACAAAAATATGTATTCCAACTGGTTTGTCAATTTTATTGAATGTTTAAAATTGATTATTAGTATTGCACAATAAAATATTGTGCAATTATCACGTCTATTCGAAACCTACGTTCAAGAAACTAGCGTCAAAATAAAAAAAAAACTTTTTACGTCAATAATAGAATTATAAATTCTTTAAAAGGTTTCTTTCTTAGCTTTCGAATATAATATACCTTATCTTTAAAATTTATTTTATTTAATTTTTAATACCTACAATTTTTCAAATCTGTGTATACCTTCAAAAACACGATCTTTTGAAAAAAAAAATTTAAATAAATAAAACATACATAGCTGACCGATTTATCCTACTCCTGTCCTCGCAACAAATGATCGTTTGGAGTAGGAAGCTGTTCAGTTCTACCGGCCGGATGGATCACTGAGCGGAACTGACTCCCTACCGCATGCGAAGTGAAACACCTGTGTCACTGAACCCGAGGGTCCACAAGTCCACAGGATATTTTTTCATTATTCGCCGGTATATTGCAATAATGAAAATATTTCACTATTTAGGTACAATTATTTTGAAGTGTCCGTAGCGTGTTATAGATTTTCTCTTATCAAACAGAGTACATATTATTTTTAATTCTATCTAGGTATCCTCCTTAGCATTAAACTTATACGGACCGAACATGTCATACTTCATACTCTCATTGTGCACTTATTGCAAATGCAATTTAATCGAATTGAATTATTAAATATCAGCTGCTATATCACAGCACTCAGTTATTTGATATGAGTGATATTTCCTTGTGGCACGCCCACGGTTTTCCTTATTATTTTCTTCTAAATAAACCTAACGGGTCCATAGATAATTTAATCAAATGGAAACGAGATTTTTTTTATAAGTTAATAGTTTATCTACACAAATCTTTGTGCACGGGGTTATCCTCTCGAACAAAATGACGCACAAACTAGTTCTAGTTCCTTGTGTTTTTTTTCGTACGTACTAGTACGTCAGCACTCGATACAAAAGACCGCTTTTTTGTTTATGTTACGTTATATCTATATCGGCTTCTCTAATCGGTTATTTTGTTGGCGTCATGACGACAACGTAAGCCTCATCGACCGTTTACCTCTGATTATGTTATCCGACATTGCGAAGTCGATACGGATGAATTTCGCATGTTTGCAATTGTTGTGCAATACGGTTAGCATCCGAGTTCTACTCGTACCTGGGTGATTCTACAAAAAAAAACCGAAAAAATTAACGGCGTCATTATCCTTAAGCCAAATTTAACAATTCTGCTGATTAAATAAAATACAAAGTTTACTTTCAAAAAATTGGGCCGCTCTCACCCAATCCAATAAAAATACAGTTACCGTGATGCTTAACAACGCGGGAGGATAATGATTTGTTAAATAAAATTTAAAGTTTTTCGAAGAAACACCCACCTTTCCTCCTCTTGAACAAGTTGTGCAATAACAAACTAATGCAATGCATCATAAGAAAAATTATTCACAATATTAAATAATAAGGAAAATTGCGCACAATTAAAGTGATAGATTTTTCATAGAAAAATTACATATTATTGTATTACAATAACAATGTCTACAGAACAAGTTATATATGTTGGCGTAAGACATGATAGAAGTGTTGCTGTATATTGCACATGTTTTTGCATTATACAGATAGAGCTTTATTTCCTTTATTGCACGTTATGTTCAATGTCTTATTGACACCTGTGTTTTGTTTACACAACATTCACGGTCGTCCAAGGGTGCGCCAGATGTAAGCAGTTACCAATGTTGCTAACTGTCCGAGCATCAAAGTAAAAATAGCCACGACCTTGGTTATACTAAGTACACAGTTTACACTACCTGGTATGTGGTAAAGATTTCTTATCTATCACAATATTGTTTTGTTTTGTACCGTAATCAATCGCTATCTCAAAAGAATTTGTTTATATAGCAGCACATTTGAATAACTTGTTTATAAAAATAACCAAACAGTTTTTCTATTGTATTCCTACAAATTGGTAGGTAGGCAACTTCAAATTATATATATATATATTTTTCTATTCACATGTTTTTGTAAGTATACCTATTTGTATCCACAAAAGGATACCTATATTGTTATTTCATTGGATAAAATTTATTACAGAAAATCTTCGTCAATAAATTACTAGGCAATAAAAATAAATAACACACGCTTTTATTTTTCCTTTTATATTTAATCTTGATTAACTTTGTCTGGCAAACAGTGGAATTTGAATTTGTCCTCATCAATTGGATATTGGTATTTTAAAGAGTTTGCGAAACTGTAGTTGCAACATTTTTTTATTTAGATACTACATTTGACAACATGACACAACGCCTTTTATTTTACCGAAGAGGTTACCAGAACTGCAAATTGTGAAAAAAAACCCTAGTGTTAAAAAATCTTCCATCATTATTTGCGATACCTAAAATATTAGTTGGCAATAATGTTTAAAGTTAGTATATTAGTAAAGTAGCTACATACATATCAACAGTTTTAGTGGCATATTAGGTAGTAAGTGATTTTTAGCAAAACTGGTAAATTAGTAAGGTAAAGCATGGTACAGCATTCCACCTACTTCTGAACCTTTCTTTTTTCAAGTTACCTATGTAAACTACGAGTAGGTGTAGTGAAATGCGAAATTCTTTACCTACTTAACAAAACGTAACTAAAGGTATATTCGTGAGATATTTGGATTTTTTTAGCTTATTTATCATGTAGTACGTCTTTCGTTTTTTTACAGTTTGTTGCTATACAGAGTAACTTTTGCATGATAGAGGGAGCTTCACTAAACTTCAAAGTCGATCAAATGTCTAGTTAACTAAGTACCAATACCCGCACACTGTAAGATTTCATAATTCAATTAGCTGTAGCTATCATATGCATACCTAATTTTATTATTCATAAAAAAATGAGGAAGTCACGACTATCGAATTAGGTAACAATTAAATCAAATTTGCTTTTTGGAGACTCAGTTGCCAAAGAAGAAAAAAAAATCTTGCTTTAGTTTTTTATCTGAAAATTAATGCAATTCAAGCAACCTCGTGTTCAAAAGTTTTAATAGGCTTTAGTTGACGTACATTCGACAGATTTCTTAAACAACAGGTTTAATAAGAGGAAGGTTGATACATATACCGTTATTTTGTGATGTGTGCCGGTTTTTTTTAAGGGGGAAAATCATGGAATGACCGGCTCCCGCCTGGGTGAGGCGGGAGAGATTGTCAGACTCTTACTGACTAAAAACCACCCCGTTCCTTCTCCTGCACGTCGAGCCGGAGCCCCGGTTACCCGTTATGTGTACCGGTAGGAGGTTACCTTAGATTATACATTCATAGGTTGGTCATACTTTCGTTCAAAGATCAAGAATGCTGTCAAATGAAAGGTATTCGGAAACGGTATACCTTGAATGAGTGCGCAAAGTGGGCACGTGGTCGAACATTTATAAATAAAATGTAGGTACCTACCTACTATTATAAAAGCCCACACGATTGACTAAGTACAGCCATTTTTATCGTAATTCAGTCATTGCTTCCAGTCGTGACTGGCTATTTAAAAATTATGATAAACACGTACATACGTAGGTACGCACGCTGTTCTCAATTTCAAAGTATCTAATGTATTTCAAGGTGTTACTCATTTAGACGAAGAGAAAAATGTACACTATTACATCTTATGGTTTTATTTTTATTATTTTTACAATAAATTATAGTTATAGTATTTGCAAACAATAAGTAAGTACAATACATTATTTAATTCTAGCGGTGGTTCAGCTTTTCAGACTTAGATTGTCTATTAAAACGAAACCTAATATTAACAGATCTTTACAATCACTAGCATAACATAAGTACAAAATATTCCTATTCGGCAGTAAATAATCCTGTCTTCTAAATACACATATATCTCGTGTACCTACTTAAAACGTAGGCACAATTTATTCTATTTATGTCTATCATAAATACACTAACAGAAAATATTCAGCCTTCTTCTAATAATAAGTAGGCAACTTCTATTTTCAGTCTTATTACTGTACTAGTAACATAGAGATCAGAATAAACAGACACACATGTCAGAAAATCATTAAGGAATTCTTACCGACCGACAGCCGTTATACAATAAAATTTGCTCAATTGAAGTAGTTACACAATACAATCAAGTGGTGCTCTATGAACAATATGCACACGAATGTAAAACTATTTATAAGTCCTATATACACAGACCCTAAGGTACACAGCCATCACTATGGTGGACCACCACGAAAGCACAGGGGGTCCACGTTATTGTAATAACATTCTAGAATTATAAACTAGTTAGGTACATGCATAAAGCAGGATTTCTTGAACTTGTATAATAATGTTAGTTACAGAAGAATTCGTCGTCTCATATTCTCCCAATTGAAAAGCAACAACATTACCCCAAACGTGGTGGTAGGGAACTGTTCTTCTTTCCAGATAGTGACTTGTGGGCAGCTGTTGTACTCATTGACACCTTCCTTGCTGAGGTGTAAGTACAACTCCTTCGCGTTCCACTTGCCCAGAACTTTCCTAATGTCCAGTCCGTCGTACGTGTGTTCTCGCGCACAAATCACAGTCGTCGTCTCATTGTCTATTTTACTGGTGTAGTTTACTGTATGGTTTGTGTAAGGGCCAAAGTCGTACACAATATATTCAGCAGCTATGGATGTAAACAGAAACATCCAAGGTAGAACTCGATAAAATAACTCCATTTCTAACTTAAGCTAAAGTTTCAGGTATTCGTTTACAAAACTCCACTTCTTCTTCGATCAAACTTGTGTGATATTATTTTAAAATTCGAATATATCTCGAGTGAGACTATAATTCGATTTTTCCGCGCGCGCACAAATATTGCGCTTATAAAAGATCGTAGCCGACTGAGGCGTAGCGGCGCGCGCGCCTGACTCACGCTGCTTGATGTTATCAAACTTGACCCGAACGCTTTTATATACGAACAGACTCGGCATCGCAGCCGCCGTAGGTAATCCCCGAACGAGGAAAAGCAACTAAAATTACTTTGAATTTCACAACATAAGCAAATAGGTACCGCTTTAACCTACCCTGAACAGTACTATAAACAAATACTAGGGTTCGTTCTTTTCTAATATTTTTCAGAAAACAGGTGGAAATATATATCTATCACTTAAAGCACTGTTGCGCAACAGATAACATAACTTTGTGTGTTCGATAAGTGCTTATTATGTATCTATTACATAATATTTTATGTTAACAATGTAATTGAACAATATCAAAATAAAATCGAGAAATGTACATACAGTAGAAACTAGATTATCCGGGTCTCAGTTACACGGATTCGCGATTATATCCGGACTACCGACTCGTTATATTAAAATTACCTACAAGTCAAATTTATGCAAGCATGAACGTGTCGGAACTGGCACTACCCTGCAGGCGACCTGCGCTATCGCTGCCCCCGCGTAATAACATACATAACATCGTTTGTTCAACATATGTATGCACAAAACCCGCTTTTCTTAGTACATTCGATTATCCGGATTTTCAATTATCCGAATGCCTAACGACAATAATTAGTCCGGTTAATCGAGTTTCAACTGTATTCGATTTTTTTTGTTATGGTAGGAAACAACCGAATAATTTTCTATGAGGTCAACAGTATATCGCAATAGTCCCGAAATTGTAGAACTTAGATTACAATTTAGATATTATTCTAAAACAATATTTACAATGATATTGTTCATAATTACAGTAAGTAAATACTCAGTAGTGTTTTGAATATCGAAATGAATCCGAAACTCAAGTTTGATTTCTTTATGTCTTCTTGCGCTTGCATAATAATAATGTAATTATGTAACAATTTTGTAATACGAACGATTCGTACAAATAGGGATATCTTAACTCATGAACTTTGGCTGAACTAAGAGATATCATATTTTGATTTAAGTAGGTGCTTTTATTAATGTAAGTCTATTTAAATATCTACTTATTAACGAAAACCCAGTTTGAGTAAACTAAACACAGTTTCATGAAAAACAAATATATCGACTTATTTTTTACTCCATTCGTAACGATCCTTCGACTAGGATAAGCCTGATTTTGTATCATAACATATTTTTATAATAGAGATGTCAATAGAGTATGAAAATATAAGTATTTTTTTATAATCTACCAGACGTATATACGTATAGACTTTATACCCTATCACATTGATTACCTTTTTATCTAATAGATACTTTAATAGCAAGAATGCGGAAGGTATCAACTAAGGTATTGGCATTATCGTTATTTATCTCATTTAAAAGAACACATTCTTTGTGTTTTTTTTTAATTTTTGTAAATAGGTATCTACAATAAGTACATTTTGTTCTTTTTTAACCGACTTCCCAAAACGGAGGAGGTTCTCAATTCGGCCGGTATATTTTTTCTTATTTTTTCTTTGCGTATATTATGTTTGTGCCTGGTGTTGTTGGGTCAAAAAACGCCGGTAATTTCAGCATTTTACTAGCGACAACTACGTAGACCTTAAGTAGGTACTTTTGGAATTCCAAGAACACGTCAATGTAGTTCATTTGGGATATTACTTATAAGTACGGTACGAGAAAATTGAGTATTGATTGTGATTGGTTATTGTTTATTTGTCGTACCTATATACAATGTATGTAGGTATGTACGTACTGAGTATCAACTTGAAGTTAGAGCATAAAATTGAACAATTTGCTAAAATGTGAGTCGGATTAAAAAATCCTGAATTGTTCTGCTTCTATGAGGCGATTAATGATAGAGTTTACCATAACTAATTCTACTCAATTTTCCCTAGTACCAAAAAAAATTGTAGCGAATGTTTAATTAAAAATACGAGTGTATGACATTTATAGGTCTATGGCAAGGAATAATAGAGACATATAGAGATGGGTGGTATTTGTCACAACAATCGTTACATGCGAGGACGTCACTAATTGACGGCCTGCCGGCCTGCCAGTTGGTCCAGCACAGCTCGCTCACCGTTTATGCTTTCTTAATAGAAAGCTTTTGGTAAACGTTAACTACTGCTCCCATTTTGTTTTAATTAAATAAACACATGCTATCTCTATTGAGACTAATTCAATCACCAAGGTCATATTAAAGCTTGTGTTCAAGAAACTTGCTTATAAAATGGGTTCGTAGTCGTCTCTTGTTTTTTATTTAACGAAGTATATATAGAAATGTAGTAATCGATTTAATATTAAGCTGTCATTGATCGGTAAAATTCATAAATAAGTCACGTCACTGTTACCTACTGATATTTTTTTTACAAAATTAACGATTCGAGAAATTATTAAAAATCTTTGACATCTTTGATCATGAATATCTTTGATTATTAATCAACTGTTGCTACGCGACATAATAATACTCTTTGTCATTGTGTCTCGCGTGAATCTCTGCGCGTTCCGAGAACCCGAATATTTAAATTAGGCTCAATAAAAACTTAATAAAAATTACTAACTAATTGTTGTAGCTAGCTATGTATTTCTCTCAATCGTATTGGTTATTGTTGTAGGAAGTAGATTCAAATGAACTATAATAATATATAACTATTATTGAGAAAACATCCATAGGGGCTCCCATATAGGGAAATGGTACTTTGGTATCGACCTAATTATAATATTAAGTAGCAACCTTAATGAGTGTTATCTTAATTAACCAATGTAATGTAATGAGTCCTTGATAAAACAGCAATTCAGTAAAATAATGACGTTAGCGAATAATATGAGGACCTTCGGATGTACTGCGATTATCAATGTACATACAGTGAAAAATAAATTGTTACAACAAATACTTAATATTCTTTCGTTAAACCACTTTATTGTCATTAATTAAATGAAATTTTAACGTAGTGGTAGATAGACGTCTGATATTTGACACAAAAATAAGAGTCCACAATAAAGTAATGTTCACAACTCAACAATTAATTAATATCGTAAACAGTATAAAAATAACAGAGCTTGCAACATTAAAAAAATATTTCATTTGACTAATTCATGTCGTAATGATAATTGGAAGACCAAAAGCACCAAATAAATACAGAAATACAAACTAACCTGGTCAATGGGCTCCGAAATGTGTATCACGATGCAGGTCCGCGCGTAGTCGACCCTGGAGTCACCAGCCAGATGTTGCACGAACTCCACACCATACCACATGCCCATCAAGTTTTCCACCCAGATCCCTTGCTGCGGTGCCCTGTTCACGCAGTAGTCCCTTATGTTCTTCATGAAAGGAACCTCATAAGAGCTGTAACCAGTCCCGTAGCCCTGTCCATACCCCTGGCCATACTCCTGCCCATAAGTTCTTCCGTACGTATCTCCATAAGTCGGAGTACTGTAGCCGCCCGGAGGGTAAAACAGATTCGATTTCAGCGTAGTGTAGGAGTTGTATTTGGTGGTCGATACTCCAGAAGCGTAATTGGGGTACCTGGTCACTTCTGGAAAATTGGCTATATCGCTCCCATAGCTACCAGATTTGTAGGGGTATTGGTTGTATGGGCTCACTGTCGAAGAATAGCTCGAAGGGGTTGCGTATCGTGCGTCACCAGGTTCAGCATATCGCTGATAGTTGGCACTCTCAGCTGTGGTCCACAAAACAATTAAAACGACCACGTTTCGGTACATTTCTACTTGGTTCTCGGAGTTCGGCGTGTGTCGTTGCGTGGTAGTAAGGTTGTGTGTACAATGTGTGACTGGTGCGAGCTCGCGATGGGAGTGGGAAGTAAACTAATTACGACTAATTCACGACCACTGCTCCCTGAGATGAGAACACGTCTAAGTCACATTTACAATTTCTTATGTCGACTTCACAAAATTAATTAGATACACGATCCTCTGTTATAATCAATGGCTCCAATGGGTGCATTCGGTAGATATGTGTAAAAAAAAATCTAGTAATTTGAGAGGGATGGAGAATTTGCATCAATAGAAATATGCAATATGTACGTAGGACACGTACGAATTACAATAGAAATATTTTTTATTAAAAAATCTTCTTGGTATTAATAATAACAATTTGGACAGTTTGCTCATTTTTTTTAAGTATGTAAGTTTTTAAAAGAATTAGCTTAAACCAGACTTACTGCACTTTCTAAGTCGTACTTCCGTGCCTATTCCTCCAGGACTACGGCTATGAAATAAAAACCTAGACAAGCAGGTGCATGTAGATATTACATTACTGTCTCCTTCCTCGTTCGTCAAGGTTACTTGTATTTCAGTATCTATGGAGAAAGGAAATATGTATTAAGACACTATTTCTCTATAATCGACTTCATGTAAGTTGATCTTGAATGAAGAAATAATAGCCTATTGTCTCACATTAGAGGTACCTTACCTAATATAGTTGCCTAATATGTTCTCCCATGTGTTTACAACACAGGTCACTATATACTAGTCAGAGACAGATAGACAGTTGTAAATTTTAGCGTTGGTTCCTTGGCCTCCGTGAAGCGCTAGTATCGCAACAATGCTAGTGATGAGGGCGAAGCTTAAAACTGAATAAGACAATGAGTTTTGTTGTTTTTCATTGCAACCAACAACAATTCCGCAATTTTGGCATAGTGTAGCGTGTAGCGTTCTGTAATAAACAGAATGGAAGTCAGGCTCAGTAAGGATACAGTTGAACTATTCAGGATCTCAACTCTCTCAAAATAATAATTCTAACTCACAACAGACTGCACCATGACACCACATACAACGTCTTGTCGCAGATGCGTCATGTCGCAGTTATCTGATTAGCTTTCGAATTATAACCAATCAGACGTCATGCTATAACTGCCTGATTGGTTTTCAAATTTAAACCAATCAGGCAGCAGGACACTAGTGCTTCGTGGGGGCCCAAGAACTAAAGCTGTCACAGGCCCGACTTACGATAACATTATAATAATGACATAATATTATATTAATATGTTACTTATTGATGTCCTTATATATATGTCATTATACAAAACTCAATTGCCATAGAAGAAAAAAAAAGTACAAAATATGAATTAAATATTAACAATAATTAACTTGAAGTAATAAATAAATATAACAATTATTTAGACATCAATTTTATAGTTTAGCTAAATATTTTACAGTAAAATCGATTTTCACGAATGGGCCGGCTCGACCGGAATGATATCACGGCCTCACAGAAAACCGACGTGAAACAACGCATGCGTTGATTCGTCGTGTGAGTAATGTTAGCCCCCTTCCCTGCTCTCCCCAATTTCCAAAAATCCTCAAATTCCTAATCCCTAAAAGGCCGGTACGCACTTGTAACGCATCTGATGTTCCGGGTCTCCATGGGCGATCCGTCTGCTCGTTTACCGGCTTATCCGTAAAAGTATAACTATTAAAAATATAAACAAAAATACATTATTGCTGACATGCATAATTTGGATCGAAACTTGACTAGAGACTGACACAATAAATAGTATCGTAATAAATCGTAATTTACGATTAATTTTAAATCGGTAACAAAACTAGAGGAGAAAGCCCATGGCATTAAGCCCACCTTGTACATTAGTGTGTGCATGAAGCCTTTTAACAAAAAAAAAATAAAATAAAAAATCTTTAGAATAATATTCAATTACAACTTTACAGTACTGGACATTTATATATTTTAATTATAATGCATATAGTATAATACACATTCTGGGTATCATCAGCCTACCCTGTTGTTGTTTCCCGAGCATACGGCGCTTAATCACTGGAGTTTTAGTTTTGAGTTATTTAACAACGTAAAAAGGTTCTACGAGTTTTAGAAGATCTTAAAACCGCTACCAAGTAAAAATGTGCATGAATTCCACAAGAGTGCATTCAAATCATTAAAATCTTGATAAGATGTCTAAAACGTCGAAAGCAAGATGAACCTGCGCATTATGTGCAATGAGATACCAAAGCGTCTATATTATTTTAATTTTGAAAATAATAAATCTGTTCATTTTGATCGTCTAATCAATTTATTCTTGTATGTAAATTTTATCGGCTAGATAATTCAATAGTAATTTTTTGTCACCACCATATCTCTAATGAAACTTGTATTCAAATACCAAACACGTCATCCACAAAACCAAGAGGTTTTACGCTAAACGACTAGTAATAATTAATAATACAGACCAATTTCATTACCTTCTACGAAAAAAATCTAAAGTACAAATGTAATGTACCTATGTATAGTGTACCTCTGTCCCCAGCAATTTACCATGCCAATTTTGTAGGTATTTGTCTATAATTAATCTTGGTACTTGTAGTTAACAAGAAAAATACAATCTTATCTAACAATGTCGTTGTTACAGCGAAACGAATTTCAAATGTATGAAATAATTAGAGGTTATTATTAACGTTTTAAATCTAAATAGGAAGGTACTGCGGTCAACAAATACTTGGCTAGCTGTTGGATGTGTCGGTAATTAAATGTGGCAGCAAGCATTTTTAGTTCCGATTCTACGGTGGAATTTGTTCCAAAAGTATAAGATGAAAAAATAGAGAATGATATGAAAATTTATAAGTTGTTTCAATCAGCAGCGAATCAATCAACGCAATCAGATGAACAAAGCCCGGTGATTGGTGGAACATTTCGGAGTAGGTACATATTTCGAACACTGTGTAATTTCTCACGTATGTAAAGCTGATTCATAAAATCCGGTGTGACAAACGGTTAATTGATATAATTCGTTAATTTAATGTCCTGTCCACGAGCTGTGTGACCCTGTCTCCTGCGCTGGTTCACAGATCAGAGGCCACTGGTACATCCTCTAGCATAAACAACTCTATTGTGGGTAAGGAGCCCTAGTTAAGTTTCACGACTCATTAATAAGTAACTAGGTACTATTACGTATATTATAGACTGGTGTCTATGTATGAGTAGATGTATGTAGCTACATATATTTTACTACAATAAGACATCTATAGGAAGACAGTAGGAATAAACTTTTTATTGTAAAAATCTCATTTTTATTTGTAGCTTTTTAGTGAAGGGAGAGGCAACCGATTTCACATTCAGGCGTCGGTACGTAAGTAGATTTTATACACAATATTGCGAGTTTTTTTTAGTTTGGAACAACCCCACCACAACCTCCCAAAACCGCTGCAACTCCTGTAAGCCAGGATCTACAATAGATACAACCATGAAAACACTGGAACACTGAAGTCCGGCGCGTCCCAGGGACATACAAAGAAAGAAAGAAAGAAAGAAGAAAGAAAATTTTTTATTTCCACACTGACACAAGGAAATAAAATAAGAAACAATACAGTAAGTAAGACGGCGCAAAAAGGCAATAGCTCAGCTTAAATGCCGTGACACGAGTGTGCTCGAGTCACGGCGCTGATTTTCAGCACTTGCCCGTTACTAATAAAATATTACATTTAATAATAATAATAGAAAACAGTAAAAAAATATATACATATATACAATTCAAAATTAAAATAACATACGTAACTGTCTTGTTACATACGTTACATACGTAACTGTCTTGGTTCCCGCAACGAAGTCAATCAGAAGATATTATTTGCGAGTTTGTAAAACGTCATTATATCAATATTTTTAAGATTTTTCTCCTTTGGGAAAGGCAGTAGGCGGTGTTATAGGTAGTAGGTACCAACACCCACTTTTCTGTTTATTACGACAAATATATAATGCCAAATGCTGAATACCTACTCAAGTAGTATAGTAACTACAATACTAATCGTGCTAATACTGTCAGCACCATGAAACCGGTAAAAAAATGTTCTAGTATTAAACTCAAAACCTACGCTTTTTTTTAAGTGGGTAAATCATCGATTGACTGCTCCCGCCTGGGGGAGTCGGGAGGGAGTGTCAGACTCTTACTGACTAAAAACCACCCCGTTCCTGCTCCTGCACGTTGAGCCGGAGCCCCGGTAACCCGTTAGGTTCTCTGCGACTCCGAATCGACATCAGCCCTGTCGGGCCCCATCCGTGTTGGACTGATGGCTCTTTCCGTACGGTCGGGTCTGTTTCTGGTCGGACGGGGAGCAATTTCATTCTACAATAAAAATTTTAACAGATGATTGAAAGATAGGCCCGAGTCATAATGGTATATGCAATAGACTTTCTGAGTTACCAGTGATTTTTGATTTATATGTATTGTCTACTTACACAAGAACCACACTCATCTTGCTTTTGCCATATTTGCATGTGTGCATTAATATTTTTTTCTGTATTTTACTTTAAAAAATATCATTCTTAATATCATCTATCAAATTCCATCTTTACAAATAAAACAACAAGAACTATACATAATAATGATTTATTAACCAATAAAAAACAATTACATATGCACAAAAGCTGTTATACAAATCAAAACAATGAACAAGGAGCTCGTTTCAACACAGCCAGCACATACAGCGGAGTACCGTAAAACATTTGGTAATTCGAAGTTGTAGAACTGTCTCTTATACTCAAACCACTGCCATCGGTCTACCCTGGAAGGTGACCTTCGAAGGATCAGGGAGAACACGCCCCCACTGACATCGGAACAGTGATTGATTATCATAACGTGAGGCGTCACTTTTAATATTCGTATCACCTGAGGATGCCTGGGTGGCTCGTCGGGGTTCCACATCTCTGTAAGAAAAAAAAAATTATAACCAAAAGTGTTTCTGGATAGTAATACATAAAAAGGAGGTTAACGGTTTGTTGATATTTAACAGTATTCAAAGTCGGGTTTTGAACGTGAACAACAAAAATTTTGAAGTTGGAGCAAAATTTTAGAACAAAATCTGAGCTACTATGGTACCAACCACCTTCTTTAGTACAATAAATAACATGAAGAGTAATCAATTAACTCAGTAATTCTACAAAGCAGGGACGTATTTTTTACAACTTTTTATTTTTATTTCTGCAAAATCCATCTCGATATTCTCGATTTCTGCCCGTCTTAAGACCTAGTTTAAATAACACATAATATCACGCATTTTATCCCCGAAGGGTAGGCAGAGGTGTACATTATGCCACTAGACAATGTAACACCCACTTTTCACTAATTATGTTATAAGTCCCATGTTATAGGGGGTGAGCCTATTACCATATACCGGGCACAATTCCAGACTGCATGCTGCTACTGACAATTTATAAAATACCCAGGAGTACTTTGTCCGACCCGGGATTCAAACCCGAGACCACTCGGCCAACGAGGCAGTTTAAATGTAATAGCAATTTATGCAAGATTACCTATAAAGTATGGTCGTCGGAAAGTATAGCTTTGTAGTTTTAAGACATGCTTGAAGGTCACACAATAGCAAGTTAAATAAATACATTCCTGTAACTGAAAATGAATTCTACGCTAAATGTACAAAGTTGACATTGAAAAGGGTTTGTCCCTTGTCCAATTATTGTAACTGTCCGTCAGAACAAAATTAAGAAATTCAACCAGATACTTTTTTAATTCAGCAGTTTGTGTAATAATTAACTTTCTAATTCTTCTCTGATTATGTCTGGATACAAAATAACTTGATTTTCTCGGAAATAGGGCTTCAGTAACGCTCTTACAAAATGGATACAAAAAGCTTTACTTTACCATAATTTGGTAATTATAAAGAAGAAAATGAAGTAATCCTTTAAAAAGTGTTTACCTATTCCTCTGGCCATCATTTCTCTCTCCAGAGGCCGCAGTTGATCTGCCGTCCACAAGCCGGGCGCGTCCGTGCTGTACAGGTAGACCTGCTCCACGGACTGCCCATCCTCATCCCAAACCACCCGCAGGCGTCTCTCCTTGTATATGTCCCTCTTCACGCGAATATCCAACCAGGACCCCGACATGGCGTCACTCGACCACGGGTTACTCTTATACGAACGCCATTTTTCGTCAGAATAATTATGTTTTAGTATCTACGAAAAATGAAAGATAAGTAATAAGAATATGAGTAGTAAGTGGGTTGTTAATTTGCTAGATACATCGGTATCTTCTCAGCGTGGGCAGGGCTCTTGGTTACGAAATAATAATATTTGATACGTTATATATATTTAGAAGATATTATGTTTCAATAATAAGCTGGCATAAAGATATACATAATATTTCAGAGAAACTCTTTCATTACGTGAACAAAAAAATTTCTCAAATGTTCCATATTTATACTTGTCTAATAGTTTTATTAGAAAAATAGGTTGTGAAATAAACTATGAAGTAAGTATGTGCCTAGGTACTTACAGACCAATCAAGCCAATCATCTTGAGGTTCGGTGGTGACGTCAGTGATGTGAAGAGTGACGCAGCCAATTTCGTTAGGCTTGTTCGTCATGTCTGGGCTGTGCTGGGCGTACCCCACTCCGTACCACATGCCGTAAACATCTTCTATGTTGAAGTGGTGAGCCCATCGTATGTTGTCGCCACAGAAACCGTGGACGCTGGCCACAATGAAGAGGAAACACGCGGGCAGTGCGGTGAACATATTTGTACTGGGTGCGCAAGGAATATGGGACAAGGCGCGGAGCCCGACCGCGCTATCTATTAGCGAATTGATGCAGGTGATGCTCCCTGCATGGCGTAACTGCAACGTGACTCAGTGGACTCGATACCGATTAATATACGCGTGTGACTTATGCTATTTAGGAAATATATTGAATAACACATTTTGTATGCCTTGAAGGACAGGCAAAAGAGCGAATATTTAATGTATCTTCATTCCAGACTTAGCACTAGTTCTGAGAATTTTTAAAATCGGAATAGCTTCCTTCTTAATATTATTTTGCCTGACCTGGAAACTAGTAAAAACTCCTGTGTGGTACATAAATCGGAACTGTGTAAATCGGGTCAAGGTGAAAGTTATATAGATACTTACAATAACTACAACACTTTAAAAACAGCATGAATTGAAGAAGTTCTACGTACCTATATGGACGCATTTTACATAATATGTATGTAGATTCTGTATTATAATGTAATAGGTACCTTCTTACCTTTATTTGCCCTCATAGTTAACCTTTAATTTCTTACAGGTACAGCTCACTTCACAGAAATTACCTGTAAACAACTTATTTATTTTCAGCTTCATAGATCAAATAGTTTTTGAGATTTGCTCTTTGACCCGTCAGTTACCTTTCACTTAGATATAGAGAGACATCTGTATTCCTTTACCCAGGCATTTACATTCTACCTGTCTGTAACAAAGGATAATTCCATATAAAGATTTCTTTCGATGTCAATCTAACAACATTTTGTGATGTATCAAACTTGACTACTCAAGTAAAAATAAAGAAAATTCTGCTAAGACTTTATAGGTCGACAAAAAAATTGTGGGTAAGTGGGAGTTACCCACTTATCGTATTCTTTTCTTAGTTTGTTGTTAAACACTTACTAAGTAAAGTTAAGCTCAGTGCCCACCTAATATTATCTTAATAGCCCCACCTACATAACAAACATTCAGACCAGATATTTGCTTCCCTGTATTTTTAGTGATTTGAAGAGCGATAGACAGAGTCATGGTTTTGGATTCCAAATCGAACAAATTAAAGATTTTCGCTTTCCACATTTCCACTTAGTAATAATATTGAATCAATTTTGGTATAGTCATAAGCAATTATGCATACCTCCTTTGATAGGACAAATAAACTAACGAATGGTGGGTGTAACATTTACTTTTTAGTGTATAGCTCTGCCTTTTACGTAGAATTAAAAACGGGATATATAAAACAAAATGGAGGCCTCTGTTCCGTGAAGAAGTAGGTGTATTTATTGTACACCCACTCTATATTACGTTATTCTCATTGTAATCGACGAGCCTCCAAACATTGGGTACCTCAGTACCTGTATTTATAGGCCGTAACCTTAATAAAATCTAGCTACAATACAATAAGGTGACACCTGGTAACATCGACTCTTCAATATTATAAATACCTAATTTTAAACGCTTGCTGAATTTCTATACAATGGTATCAGGTATCACAATAGCCTTATGAGCCTATTCACGAATCCACAGAGGTACCTAGTCTTTAAAATTATCAAAGAAATAATTCTATTAAAATCATATAAATGGTTTACTAAATATAGATCAGTTGTTGTTCTGCTATATTCCTCTGTAGGTCTGTCTATATGAAAGTGATTGTCAATTACCAAACAAGGCCTGTGAAATCTCAAATAAAAATCTTCAAAATTTTGATCCTCTCTAGAAGACGGTTTTTGCCAAACAAATAAATTGAAACGTGATACATAACAATTGTTTGCTACTCTCGTCTTGTTACGACAAAGGACCCAAGATCTATATTTTATACATGACTTACGGTAATCCCTATTGAACGGAGCACAAGATGAGATCCTATATATCTTTGTCAGTGGGTAGGTATTAAGATTAGAAGGCTGAGAATAGAAAGGGATTTAAGATTTGCTTCCATAAAACAACGCTTCGGTAATAAATATTTATTTTACTTCTTTCATATAAAAATATATTTATCAATATTGCTTGTGTATTTAAAATACTATAATAATTACACAAAATTTACTATTAAATGATTAAATTCGAGATCCCCAGATTACATAGGAGATTATGAAGAGTAGTAACGTTGATATTGTCATTTTTGAGGCGGAGTTTTCACAAACTCTTTTAAGAGCAGAAGTGGAGAGGTGCTTTAACGTGAACACGTTGTGAATACTGGCTAAGTCTTCTGGAGTAAGCTGGTTCTCATTCCTAGACAGCACGACGCTGAACAGCTGCGAGTTTGGCAGCCTCATGCAGAAGTTCAGCACCAAATGATTGTTCGCCACTTTGAGGACTTGAATTACTCCGCCGAAGAATCGGTACATGTCTCCGACCGCTGAAAAACAAAATAAATAATATGTAAGTAAAGTTATATATTTGCTGATGCAGTGTGCTCGGAACGGAGTAGAACGTGAGATATTTGTGAAGGATTTCAAAACAAATAAATTTGATGTAGGCATTATACAATCCATTTTATCTGTACCGTCTTCAGCGATTATGAAAAAGTTGTGCTATTTGATTTTGGTCCTCTACGAATAACAATTACCTAATCAAGTGATTCTCTTAGAGTACCTAAGGAAAATATAATAGTCAAGTAATGTAAAGTACGTAAAGTAATGAAAAGGGTACGATGGGGCTGACATATCTGTGATAAAAGCCCCATAAAAAGTTTATTAGATTAAAAAAAGGTTATGTATTATCAGAAACTTATTTAGAACTTCAAATAACAAAATCGGTGACGAAGAATTTATATTGCCATCTTCATTAAAGTCAATTTGTATGAAGAAAATCGTCTGTCATTATTTGAAAAACGTTTGTCCTTACATCTATTAGGTACATCGGTGGCCCAGAACCCTTTGTGCGAAGTGTTGACCTTGATGTGGTAGTCGTCCTGCCAAAGCCCCTCGTGCCACTCCAGCACGAAGTGTCTAATGCGGTACCGCTCCTGGATGTTGTACTGACGGTTCACATACGGAGAGTTGGTCAGCTGAGGATACGGGGTCGGCGGAGTTGGCTGAAATAATACAAAAGCCACAATCTTAGAAACTGAATTGAAATGTCGATAAAGATTCAATGTAATGTATTTTTACTAATTAGGTATTGGTTATTGACACATCTTGTACCTAATGTAAAATGAAATAAAGGTTTTAAATTGAAGCACGCGAAACACTCACTAAGTTATGATTCAACAAACCACCCTCGACGTAATCTTCAAACTTCCTAATTTGCACGATAGGGCAATAAGGATTGTATTCAGTTTTGGTAACGTTTTCTTTGTGGTACACGTATTCATGGACGTACCACATGCCTAAAACCGTTTCCTCATCAAAATCGTGCGTTGGACCTAAATTCTGGCAGTAGTTAACGTTGGCTGCTGAAGTGATGGCAAGGAAACTTGATACTATTAGAGCAATGGACGCCATCATGAAAATGTATGATAGGTACTCGTGACCAGGTTCACGACACCGGCAGTCTAATTAACATCTGTAGCCCACTTGGTGTAGTCTCATGGCAAGAACTTACGTGTACAGTAATTACAAATTAACCTATTAATTGACTCGACACCCCGTATCCTGTTATGTAAGACAGACACCCTGTCGGAAATCATAGGTTAATGTACCATTACGATACATTCAAAAGTTTAGTGTTCTATATTAAATCTGTTTCACATTCTATTATTATTCTACTCATCTTTAACCAAATCTTTCTAAATATTTTTGTGTATATAACAAAGTTCTGTGCTGAAATATTTAAGATTTTAAGAAACAACCCTTTCAGCTATTGGCACTACAGATTTTTATGTAGTAAAGTCTGTACTAGTAATAAGTATATAACTGACCTCTGTCTTCCCCCTCGGGAAATCACAACCGCTATATGGACAAGTTTACGATTGTTACCCACCCACTAAAAATAACTTTGAATACTGTTTTAGTACCATAATAGGTTTAGCACCATAATGTGGCTAAAACAGATTTAACATATAAAAATGAAATACAACAGAATAATTAATCTGGTTTACATTTGCTATTTATTTTTCTAATAGGTAAATCATATACATATCGTCACTGGAAGTGACGAATTGTTTATTGTATGAGAATTAGTTTGAGAACTTAATATTTCAAATATCATAATTTGAAATATTAAGACATAACAAAAGTAACCTTGTAATGAATTTTATTGGAAAGTTATTTCCAACCTAAGTATAGAAATTCTTATCAAGTTATTGTGACAAAGTTACCTAATAACTTATCAAAACAAAATATCAACCAACCTCAATATTAAGCTCCTTGATGTCAATGTAGAAACATTCCTGTGTGTGTTCTATTTTGTATTCTCCTCTCGTATGTGGGATTTTCTCTACACCATACCAAACTCCAGCAATTTGGTCCAAATTGATGTCTCCATAATACGGTGATAAGTCATCACAATACTTGTGACTTTCGAAACTGTATTGACTGTAACATTGCACCAGACCAAAACTCAACGAAATCAAAATAATACTACTGTACGCCATTGGATTAACCGCTCTGGATAACCCGGGTTAAATCGGATAAACTGACGGATAAAATGAACCGACAGTACCAGGAGATAATACGCGCAAGAAGGTGTTCTACAGATTAGCCCGGCGGATAGAGTGAGGGCGAAGTGGCGAGAACACGTGGGCGGGCTCCCAAATTAACAACACTCGACTGTCGTTGGACCAGTCCTGGTAATTTACTAGTTATGCGAGATAATAAACTTTATCAACACGTTGACAGTCCCCTCTCATGTAAGTGAGACACGAGCACTGTAACTGTAGTTAACTATACATAGGTACTACATACATATTTACCTTATTATTTTCCTTCTAGATTTCGACGACATAAACACAACATGTTCAACCGTAAAACTACTGAAACTTTAGTAAACTAAAAGGAAAAGAGATCGTCTTAAGAATTTTCCATCGCCTTCTCAAGTTTTCCGTAGATAGACGTTTTCCTCGGCATACTTAGATGCCAGGGCTGCAGAAGTGTTAGAATATGGGGTGGAGAAAATCAATAATACTCGCTGACGTCACAGAGGGTGGCTATCGAACGGGTCACGCTCACGAAACGCTGCAGAGTCTCTTGTGTGAGTGCCATACTGTCGATGCTTTTGTGTGTCTGTGTACCTGTAAAGCTGGGTGTGTTGTGTGAACATTTTTATAATTTATTCATATTGAGATAACAATTAAAAGCTTAGAGGAGTCGAAACCAGAATTTAATGAACTTTTTATTTAAAAATTTTATTTATCAAAGTCCCCTCGATGAAGATTAATTAAACCCGTGTAGGCTTAGATTATAAATTAATCCATTACAAATAAATTTGCTCCTACCAGCTACCTCCTGTATTAAGCCTTAACTGTTGATAACAGATGGTGACGTAGTAACGAGGCGGAACGCAATGCGTGACGTACTGCGCCATGGCCAGCCACGACTACGTGTACTAAGGATACAAAGGCTCCGAGGAAGTAGAACGAACTGCTACTGTTACAATAGTAAAACTATTGCCACGGCCTTGTTAATCATTACAAATAACCCCCTTGACAAATTGTTCGCTAAGTATTGTGTTATTATAATACATCACCTAATTATGACATCGTTTTGCAAACACCACATTCAAAATTAAATAAGTGTTATAATAGTTCGCCTTTTGAAAACTAAGCCCTAATCTTATTTTGTCTAGATGTGATTAATACCCGTACCTCCTTCATACAGACATTGTGTCCTACAAAGTCAGTTTTAGAAGTGTAACGTTCTTACATCGCCTCCTTTGTTATAATCACGTGCCAGTAGACTCTGTACCTAAATACCGGGATAACATATGTAAGTAAGTCAATTTCAGCCCAAATCTAGGCTAACGATGTTTCTGACGCCACTGATATCTTAGTACTTAGGTACAGAGGAATCTGTGAATTCGAGACGTATTTGGAATTAATAAATAATTTTTATGCCCAGTTTCTTTTCTGGTCACGATTTTTCTGTAATTTTAACTAAAAAATCTAGACTTATTCGTCTCTATTAGAGAATTATGAAACGAAACAGCTTATTATCAAAAATGGTATTTCATTGCAATTTTATTTTTGTTAAACATTAGCCCAAAACTACTAGGCAAATTAAAATATTTAATGTTTCGTACCGATCTGTATTACGCGCTTGTCATATTTTGACTCCCACCCCGTTGTTCAAAACGACATAAAGCTAGAATCTCATAGCCACCTGCCACTCAAACACCATGGGCGGTATTTGGAATATCCCCATTTTATGCCATTGAATTTTGATAATACCACCCCAAAGGCTTTGTGGTTTTCTGTACTAAGGCTACATAAGCGAAGTACAGTCTCTCGGTACTCTCGTGTGACGTCAGAGAGGATCGATATTAAGCCTCTACGAGCGCTACGAGAACGCCTACAGCGGACTACGCGCTACGGTTTCGTAGTGTGTCGTAGCTACGGATTGCTCGGCATTTTTGCGAAGACCAAATTAAATTTCTGTTATTTTGGATCCAAAGCGTATTTTTGGAATGTTTTTTTAGCTTACATAAATTAATGTGACGTTATTGTAGTAAATTATATTTTAGATGATGTTAGAATTGTCACCATTTTCTGTTACCAGATTTTTATATATTTTCGAAATGTTGTTTTATTTGAAAAGTTTTTAGTTAGTGATTCTTATATTATGTAGTAAAAAACATTAACTTGCCCAAAGTTAATGTTTTTTGAATAAACAATAAACGGTCATCATTTATTTTTATAAAAAAGAACTAATTATACTAACATTTATAAAACGTGTGCATGTTTTAGTTTCTGAACACAATCAAGAAATAAAACAATGGCTACAAAATACTAAAAGTAAATTTTCAAACAAGTTCGGCCCAAACTTTCAGTTGAAAATACGGGGCCGAACGCGGCATCGTCGTTTCAGAGGTTATTTGTACCAGGAGGCTAGAAACTGAAAGATATTGTTTTCAGGTAGTGCTCGACAAACCTCATACAGTTGGGAACATTGTAGCTATCAAAACAAAACTATTACGATTGTGTAGACTCCATACTTTTGTAATTTATAGTGATGTTTATTTAGATCCAAGCAGTATTATAAGTAATGTATGTTAGAAATATGTTAATCTGGTACTTAAATGTATATGTTTACTACACAAAAGAACCTACTAAAGAAGAATGCTCGCCTAAAAGTAAATGTGAAGATATTGTTATATAAAGTACTAAGCAAGTATTCATAATCAGTGTTTGAATGTACCAATACCAATATTTAATGCATTTAAACATTGATTACATGCATCTCACTCACTGAAAACTGAATAAGTACACATTGTATGTGAATATGCAATGTTTTGTAACTTGTAAGTAAAAATATTACAAGAACCGTGTAATATCACGTTCTATTCTGTCTTTTGAGCTAAGCAGAGGTAAATGCCTGTCCGTGCCGTATTGTATGTCCTGTTGCTGAAGTAAATAATAAATAAAAATCTTTTATTTTCAGGCGTTGACGGCCCATAGAGTGTTAGTAAACAGTACAAACTTAAAAAAAGTATAGCCTGACTGTAAGACTGACAACTAGTTCGATGGGTTTCAATTTTTATTCCCGAGTCATACTATGTATGTACTTATAAAAACTATTCACACAAGTCTAGAGACTTGGTGACTTGGAGTCTTGACCGTAAGTATGGACTTATTTATTACTGGCTGACCCAGCAAACTTGTACCGTCTAAAATATTTTTTTCTCACCTTTAACCCGTCCCTGGACTTCCACGAACATTTCAAAATCAAAATTAGCCACATCGGTACAACCGTTCTCGAGTTTCGAACAGAAATTCATTTTTATTTATATGGTTTTTTTTAAGGAAGGATAGTCGTCGAATGACTGCTCGCGCCTGGGTGAGACGGAAGGGAGTGTCAGACTCTTACTGACTAAAAACCACCCCGTTCCATCTCCTGCACGTCGAGCCGGAGCCCCGGTTATCCGTTAGGTTCTCCGCGATATTTATATGGATAGGTTAGCTTTTACCCGCGGCTTTGCTCGCGTATTACTGTTTTATCTCATGGAATCATTTAATCGTGATAAAAGTATCCTATCACCTAAGTCAGCCCGTACCCTGCCTGTGTACCAAAATCCATTCAGTAGTTTCATCGTGATTAACGGACAAACATCCAAACAATGAAACTTTCACCTTTTTTATAACATTAGTGTGATATGGGAACCGTGACTAGGAGAAGAGAGACGTTAATAATATACTCTTTACGTTTCGACTTTGTTTGTTGTACAAATTGTACTAACAGCACGTTTCTATTGCGTATACTTAACGAAAGTTCTAACAAACTTTTAATCTCTAATCCAGATCTCAGTTAAATATTATAATTCTTCTTCCACAGTAGAGATCATACTAACTACGAACGAATTACCTATTCTCTTAGAGAAAATCTATATAATGTCTTTTGAAAATAATATTAATTAAATTTAACAACTTGTAGTTTACTTATAACCGTATACTAAATAGTGGGTAAGCTTATATTTATTAATATTAAACACAAATACATAATCATGATAAACGAAATTTTAATAAATGATGTGATTATATGTAGGTATCTATTCTAAATGTAATCTTTAGAATTTAAGTCACTTTTAACTTTTCTGTGCTTCCAAACAAGACCCACCCCCGTCGTAGCAGCACGCTACAAATCGTAGACATTTTCGTAGCACGGAGTAGCGAAAGCCGATTTGGCGTAGTCGCTAAAATTCGCCCCCAAAATTTTCCGTAGTGACGTAACGCCCTGACTACGAACCTACTAGGGTAGCATGAGGAGTGAGAAGGGTTGCACAGTTCGTACACTCCACAAGTTGACAACTAACGCGGTCGCCCCGCGCTTGCTAGTGTAACACAATAGGGTAGCATGACAGAGAGAAGGTGCAAATAGTTTGTCTAACTATCGGGTGGTGGTGGATGGTTTGCGAGGGGCGATGACGTCATAAGTGAATCGGGAGAGGGATTCGCGAAGGGCAAGCTTACGGATTGATAAGACGATAACAATGTGTGCACATGGGAATATTGGGTCAAACTATAATATGGTTTGTTGTTGTCTGAATTATCCTGAATATGTTTTTGTTTGAATATAAAAATTATTACTGTGTATATTTTTTTGACCTTAATATTATGAAAGGCATAAGTCCATATAATATTGTATATTAAAAAGTTTCAAGTTATTTATTAAAAATTTTGTGAAGTGATGATACTGTTCCAGAAAATACGTCAAAGTAATACATTCTAATGTGATAAGTACTCTAAATGTAGAGGTTTGTAGAAACTTTTCAAGTAAAACTACCAAATAATCGAACATTAAATCCACACAATTAACCCTCTATAAATAAACTAATTTCCTATCTATTTGATTCTGTAGCTACAAAAATCCGTTAAAAAATATAAAGTATTTTTTTCATTAACCTGTGTGTCGGAACGCAAATCTACGCGAGACCCAGTGTGTTTTCTAATGTGTCTCATATATCCACAGACAAGAGTTTAATCCACTAATGGTAACTAATTTAGGTATTTAACATTAAATTAAATCTGTGTAGAGCTTTAACAGTGTAGGTAATCCATACTGCTGCACTCACTACTCGTTTATATCCAGACGAACGCAGATCGATAAATGACGTCCGCTCGAACTATAGGGGTGGATTATCTCTATTATTTTATAAAGCCCTGGTACAAAGGGTCACGAGTCGGCGCTGACGTCGTTGCCAGCGAGGGGTTACCCGCCGCGGGTTGAAGCGGACAAACTGGCTATATAACTGTGACGTCATGCAACTTAATCTGTGCTAGGGTTGAATAAGATCATGACAGCACGCGTGAAATTAACAAGTTATTGTTATTTTGTTTGTTATTAGTAACTAAGACTGATTGTGTAATTAAAATTTTGATAATGAAGAAATGATTTTATGTTATACACAAAATTACAATTACTTGTAGTTATTACAATTCTTTAATTTGGAACACATATACATATGTACTTACATAATATATATAAATAGTGCAGTACCTATCTATATTTTGTAACAGTAAAAAGCAGGCACTTTGCAAATTGTTAGTGCCTACGTGCCAAAACTGTAAATGTTTGGCATTTCGCGTGACCTTTACCCCAAGGATGACGCCGTTCGCTGGGGGTGCTCTGTCCGCGCCAGAGGTCGATTGTACCAGGACAACAGAACATCGGTAGATGTGATTGCGACGTTGTCTCTTGGGCACCATCTTTATATAAATAAATGTTGTGATTTAAACGCCACCCACCCACGTAACACATTAGGTAATTGATTGGTTGTCAAGAGACAAGTAAATCGTTCTTTTTTTGGTCCTACCTACCTATTTATAGGATTTGTTTTGTTTTTGGTACCTACGTATTTAATATAGGTACCTATTTTGAAAAAAGTATGGATTTGTATAATTGTGACTTGTTCCTGGTGCATTCACCTAAAATAGTATATCTACTCTTTCTTATTTCTCCACAAATACAACGTTTTATCTTATCAATTGGTTATCCCATATGGCTTTCCTATCATTTTTATCAGCACTGATAAAAATGTTGTGCTTGCGTGATGTTTTTCTCCGGAGCAATGAAATGATAGGGTATCAATAATGCATTTTAATTTTATGTAACGTTTTAGGCAATTTAGACATTGTTTGTTACCTATCA